CCTTACAAGATCGATGCTCAACTTTTGCGTTTTGAACCATGTGCAACGTCATAAATGACGTTACATAGATATCGGTGTTTTTTGTCATTAACTACCGTTCCAACTGAAATACAGGGTGGTTATATATTAAACCGCGAGTAGGCAGAACAAATCTTTTAAACGTCGAGCCGTTAGGCGAGACGTTTAAATGATTTTTCTACCTACGAGCGGTTTAATAATTCTATTCCCTACCGCCGATATCTTGCGAGCGCTTAATGATAATGAATACATTTCATATAAAAATACAACAGATTTCATACTAGACGAAATGTCTACTAGACGTTTAACAGTTTATTAATCGCCTAGACGTTTCACAAACCAATACACAATATTACACAATATGCACAAAGTTACACAATATCTGATAATTTTCTCTCTTTGCACGTGAAGCAATTGTAAACACTGTCTATGGTGCGGGATAAACGCATTTAAACATCCACGCGCTATCCTCTAAATTACAGGGTGATCAATAAAAGATGACATAAAGTGAGCCCCCGCCAGAGGCGTAAGACAATGTATTGCATAAACAGCTCACCGTTGGAATGATAAATCTTAGACATTTTACATCGCACAAACAGAAATCAGTTGTGACACTGGCCTTGGATGTCTTCAGTGGCCGTATTCACAATCACGGGTTAAGGGTAGGGTAGGAGTAACGGGTAACGGGTTATTTTTGTGGTCATATTCACAATCGAAGTTTACTCCGGTCGCCCGGCGCCACGCAGACGGCACCTGGCCTGCGTGGTGCCGTCTGCGTATGATGATGACGAGATGTCAATCGAATGCCAACTTTTTGGCATATCGATACCAAACCGATACAAACTTGGTATTTGGCGTTTCGAGGCTAAAACATTTGGTATTTTGTTGGTGTTGTGAATCCTCGCTAATGTAAAAGAGACTGTGACTTTGGTAAAAAGTTGGCATTTCGCTGATATTCCCAAGTCGGTTCGGTTTCGGTATTTTCCCACGGTTCCTGTTGGTATTTGGTTTGGTATCGGTATCACGACTTTCTGTAATTGACAGCACTAGTCCATATATTAAAAAAAAATGCCTTTCCAGGTTTCTATCCATTGCGAACGTGAATACTGGACAGATTACTGAAGAATTGCTAGACTCTCTTCACCTTCGAGCAACTGAACAAGATCCAGCACCCCTGGTCACTCTGCAGTCTGGATTTTTCGTGCTTGGACCTCACCGTTTAACCTCAAGCAACTCAAGTTGCGGAGCGAACTCAAGAGTCCAAGACCCTTGGATGAACTGAACGCTGCCGTGAGTCGTCGAAGGCTTCGTCTGCACGATAGCCGGCGATCATTTGGGGCTCCAGCGGGGGCTTACTTTATGTCATTCACTAATGAACACCCTGCACTAGTGCACGTGACCTGACCTCAGAGGTCACATGTTCATCTGACACTTTTAACATGATTGTGAATCGCTGGGTGTTGTTTTTGTTTGCAAGGCTTTTAGCTTAATTATGGGCGAAACGGCGTCGAGGGTCCAGCACCCCCCCCCCCACACACACACACACACTCTAGACCCCTCTCGGTATTCAGAAAGTCGATAGGTCCGACGAGGAATAACGGATACGACGACAACGAGACACGTGCACTCTTGAAATATGTTTGTTCAGTGTGGATTTGATTTTTGAGAACGTTTCCTTGTCTTGTCTGTAAGCTGAAATTCGCCAATCAGTCTTATGCATTACCTAGCTGCATCGTTTTGAGTCCCATCAGTGGGAATGGCTTCTACACTCTACACTATTAGTGCTTTCTTGGAATGATATCACGTTCGATAGAAGCATAAAGCGAACACATAACGAACGGGGCGAGATTAACATATTGTTTAATGGTTAACCCTACCGAAGGTTTAACAATGCAGTTATTGAAATGAACTGTTCAACAGTTGTTCAGCGCAATAAATGAGATTATACGAAACAGTAGGAAATTAATAGTTATGAAGGTTGAAATATGCAACCGTTAAAATAATGATATAAACAGCGACGTTGGCGGCGGTATGCCGATCATGACAACATTATAATTGCTACGTCTTAAACAAATTGCCACGTATTGCAGCCTAAGTTGAAACTGCAATGAATGATGCGTGAGCTATATGGTCCGGCATAAGTTTTATCCTCTAAAAAAATGTTCTCTAAGTTGCTACATAGGGGACAGCGATTCTCTTGCGTTCAGTTTATTCCCCACGAACAGGGATTTACATTACGAACGCAAATTTGCATGCTGGTAACTAGGTTGTGCAGTAAATACGGCTGGATTTTTTTCCTGCCCGTTTGAGCTGTAACGACAAGGCGCCGAGGCTAGCAGCCGGCTTCTGTTTGTCCAGGTCCTGCTGGACGATAGCCCGAAGTTCGTCGATCAGGATGAGGTCTGGATGGCAGCCGGCTAGCATGTCTTTCCTTCAGAAGTCTGGCACGTTCAATTCGCACCACCGCTAGGCCTTGGCAGAGCGATGAGCTGGCGCGCCGTCCTGATTGAAAATGCATGTCAACATGTCATTGACCATGCGTTGGCCTAGCATTGGGCCGAAGGTAGGTAATGAGCCTCGGAGAGCTCTTCCAATAGCGTCTCACGGTCCTGTTTGGAGATGTGATAGCGCTTCAGCGCGAGCCGTTTGGCCAATTTTGTCGCGAACTATTGGCCCCTCTTCCCGGCCGCCTTTTTCAATGCGATTTCTGTAACGTTTGAAATGGTAGGCGCACTCTGCAAACTGGAACGATCAGCGACACTGCCAGCAGCCGTATGCTTATCCCACCAACACTGGGCTGTGCAGATAGTTCGTCTATAATTAAGACTTGCAAACAAAAACAACAGGCAGATGTCCCAACCAATCAGCAATGACACGCTGTGTCATTTCGGCCTGGAGCATACCGACTGTCTGGTTCAGCTCCCTTGATAGAAATGTCAGACCTTCATGTAGCGACGCAGCCTTTCAGGTGGACAATCTCTGTGAAAATGGCCGTAGCTCGGTGATCCGTGACCCGAGGTCCGTTCGTCACCTCATGTTCTGCCGCCAAGGACCGTGCAATGCAGGAGTGCAGCCTGAATCGTCATCCCTCAGGTGTAGACACGATTAGGAACCGGAAAGTGTTGTCATGGGTAGTGGACATAACTTTTGCCGAGCCATGTAGTGTCGTCCTGTAGCGTCTTTCGTTGTCAGCGAGACGCTACATGGAGTTAAAATGGCGAGCGGCTCTCCCGCCGGAATGCTAAGCGCCCTTCTCTGTCAAACGCGGCGCTAGTTTCCGCCTAAGCTCCGCTGGCCCGCTCAACTGCTATGTCATGCGGCACAGTCTACAAGTACAGGTGACCGGTCGCGAGATCGGAGCTCCGTAGCACCGAGCGAGTGTGGCGAAGGTGGGGGTATTCACCGCATCAAACCTACAGGTCGCCTGGACCCTTATCTTGAGACCAATAGTACAATGCACGCATATGCAATGCCAATGCGACGTCAAAGGAAGCCAGAGGGAACGGGACTCTTTCAGAGCAGAAGCAAAAACGCTTATCAACAAGCAGGCCATTCATAACGGACATTAAATTACTTGGATAGTCTAGTCAGAAGAGCACCACAAAAGCCGCCGCTGTCCATAAACACCATCTCGAGCGTCTTCTGGTTCCAGCGCTGTGCCACATTTGGCTTAGAGCCCCTAATGGAAGCCGATGGGTGGGAGGCGATCGAAGATAAAGTCAATCATCTTAGACCGACAACCAAATAGAGTCTAACCCGGCATCCAGACGCCCCTGAACCTGTCACTTGGTGTCTCTTTTCGGACTGTTCGACGATATCTCTTCGTGGTCGGTATTTTGTAGCGATATTTATCTCATGTTGGACGGCGCGGACTGAGGCGTACCACGCCGGTGTAGCTGGGCGAGGTCGGGCGCCGGCGGAGGACACGTCTCCCTGAGCGAGGCCGACGACAACGACAGGTGATTGACGCCCTCCGCTGCCGAGTCGATGTTCGTCGTTCACGACGCCAATGGCGCATCGCTGCCGCATTCCATCCGTCCAGAATCACATCGGGAGAGTCACGGAGGGAGAGCCACATCGGGAGTCAATCAGGAGAGTCAATCGGGAGAGCCCGCTGTTCCCGAGAGAATCGTACCAGCGGGACAACCACCGTCCCCGGGAGCTAAGAGTAGGTGCATAAGGTGCGATGAGTGGGAGCGATAGGTGCTGTTCCTGGGACGTACCAAAGGACCAGACACAGTGTTTCGGGAGTTGAACGTAAGGCACAGTTCGGGATCGCGGTGTCCAGAATCGCACCTGGACGGACTGTTACCCGAATGGCCACCGAGACGACTACTGAGGAAAGAACTAGGGTTGGTAAAAGTCTGGATACCAGCAGCGCAGCCGAGCTGTGGACTCTAGATAGTTGTCGCCGCCGTGTTCCCATCCGCAGACTCCAGAGCCACGCGGTGTCGTGTCCACCCGCCCTGCTGCTCAGAATGGGCCGATAGCAGGCAGTGCGGTGCGGTATACCGTGATCCGCCCCTTGCGCCCGTTAGGGCACCGCCGGCCGGCCAGAGCGGTTCGCCGCCAGCGGAGATGTATTATGCATGCTTCTATACATATTTCATAGACCCGGACCCCTCTAAGACAGTTTGGCGCATGCTTGCATCATGCTGTACAAACATTAGGTCAAATGAGAAGCGCCAGTCAAAACAAATCTAGAGTTTCCCGTAGGTGTTTCAATAAAAGCATTCCACGGCTAAGAAAAGAAGTAAAACATCGCAACGTTATTCAAGGCGAACATCAGTGATTTTTTTGTGCATTATTTAACGATATGTATCAGAAAATGCCACCGATGTGATGCCAATTAGCCGTGCCTGTATTATAAAAATCGCTAGTAGGCGCTATTATTGGCATCCATAATTGAATCGCATGGATGTTTGCTGACAGCGCATGCCATTGCATATTTCCCGATCTTTTCATTCACAATTAATTCACAGTTTCAGTGACGCTACCCGGATAGCCGACAAGGAGGGATCGAGGATATCTGCACAGGCCACCCACCATGAACAGGTAAGCACGAATCCTCGGGTCCCTATGTCTCCAGTCCAAGTAACCTCAGAGATGCACAGCTGTCCCGTCCCCCACGTCCCCTCGCGCTGCCGGCCGAGGGCTGTGATCACAGCCCCCCGGCGGGGCTGGCAGATGACATCTGTTTTATGGTTATAGCGTGTGTTCTACAGTGTCGGATCAAATGTGAACATGACGGGCTTTCACATGACATCAGCCGGACCCTGCAACCAGATTCATAATACAAAAGGACATGCAACATACAATAATGGCACTGCATTATGATCGATGCAAGCGATGCAAGGAAAGCAGAATTTTAGTGCACAGGCTGGACGTAGAGATTGACCATGTTAAATACTTCGAGTTTAAAAAAATGATTTCACGGTCTCAGTGTATAAAACTGCTCACTATCTTGTTCTCTCTTCCAGAGTTCGCTGTAGAAGGCTGCGAGCTTACAGAGGCGGATACCAGTGCCCAGTTTACTATGTTTAGAGACTTGGCGATTCTTGTGGTGGTGAGTGAAAACCAATCGAAGACGCATAACGCATAAACTAACCTCCATTTACTTACAATATGCATTTTCAAGACGCTAAAATCTTTGAAATGTTCTGATCAAATAAGACAAGGGAAAATTTGGAGAAAATGAGCAGCAACTTGTCTGCGCTCATCCTTACAAAAGCAAATGAGTTTATCAGGAAGGGTATTGTCCGTCGGTTTGATAACGTCTCTTCGTTCCGAGTGTTTCGGTCTGTCCGGTTGCAGGTCGCGCTACTCTGGAGCGGCGGTCGGTGGGGATCGGCCCGGCTGCACCAGACCAGCCCGGACGACTGGGACGGCACGATCGACACCTCCGACCCTCAGCTGACGGACTTCCCAGAGATCAGCAATGGAAGGTGAGCCAACGAAAACGCCGGGTGTATATAGCCCCGCGCCGACCTGACGTGGCCAGTCAAACTCAAGTGCCGGGTATAAATAGAACGAGTCCGCACCTCCCTGCTAAACTGCTCAGTAACACTCTGCAAATGCTTCGTCACGAAGGCTGGCGCCCGCCCAATGACCCAAGCTGCTAATCTGTGGGAAGTACGAATGCGCCGCCGCCGCAGGGTGCTGTGTGGACCGACCTTTACCCCGGCGCACCCTCAGCACCTGACTGAGCGCAGCTGGTTGTGTGCCACCAGGTGGCCGGCGCCCCGGCGGAGGAGCGCGCGGCACACCTGGCTCCCGGAGCCCTCTGACGGGCCGCTGCCGCTGCCGGACGAGCTCGAGTCGCCAGAGGCCGACCGGGAGGCCAGCCTGGCCACGCTGCGGCGCTACAGCCCGCGGCGCGGCGGCTTCTCCGTCTGCTGCCCGGCCGGCGAGGAGCTCACCAGCCCGCGCGCCGGCACGCGCCGCGACGGCAGCCTGGGCATCCTGTACGTCGACGACAAGTTCCGACAGATGTTCTTTGAGCGCTCGTGCCGGGCGCGTGCTGACGACGAGGACTCGTTGGCGGAGCGCCGCCGCCGCCGCAGGTACCGCTGCGTGCAGCAGTACTCACACTCGTACGCCGTGTACAATGTGAACGGTACAAAGGTGCTAGACTATATCCGCATCAGGAGCGGTTGTAAGTGCGAGGTAAAGAGCAAAAGGAAGCGCAAACGGCGAGGTGAGGCGTAAAAGAGACGGTGAGCGCATAACTCGCGAGTTGGTAGTGACTTTACTGCGATACGATGCGAGGTGAACGAAAACTATGACTACAAAGTGAAGTGACATACATGCATTTGCAGTGCTTCGAGACACCCATGTGGTCTCCGAACTATCAGTCACATGTGCCGGAACTGGGAGCAAAGTGTGGGCGTGGACCTTGCTTCGTGGTGCTATTTGGTGCTCCAGCGCCATGTGTTGTTCTGTGTTTCCGTGTTCTGGTGCTACATCTGTTCTCTTTTCTGTGTTTAAGTGGCCGAAAGCAAGGTGTGTTGAATACGAATACGAATACGAATACGACGCTAACTTAACTGACATAAGGTGTGTGCGGTAGTTTGTTGCGTTGAATAGTAAAACGTGACATCATATAATTTGACAGTCAATTTTGTGACACGGATGTTCGCATGTTGCATGTTCCTTATGTTGTATGTTTCATGCCGAGTTGCAAATCCTGAGACACTTGATAAGCAGAGACTGAGACAGCTCTACCAACATACGGTGATGATGTATCCGAGGATAAAAATATTTGAGCCTTATGCAATTGACGATAACCGTGAACAGTTGCAAAGCATGATGGTTAACAATGATTTGCATGAGGGATTCGGCTTATTGACGGTACAAATGTTGTGGCTTCAGAGTTCAGGCTTGTGGTGTTAACTGGTGTTATTCTTTCTATATGCTACCGTATTTATACGATTATAACACCAATATTAATGTCCGACGCTTATCGATGACTTTTCCTTTTACATGTATGATCCTCGCTCCATGATGTTCGTTTCTGGTCGCCGACTAGGCACTTCTTTCTATAACAACGAGTGCTACGATTATTTAAATATATTCTTACATACTTCTTGGAGTATGTCTCAAGTGGCAGGAACATGGAACGCAATTTTTCATGACCAATGAATACGCCAGTCGGACGCATTATTGCAAGTGGCTCAAATAACGAAAACAGTTTAATTCCTGGCTACCTGTGCACTGTCGCAACCGCACACTCTCTGTTGTCAATTTCTAACGATTTCACCGACCCGACACGACAGGGATGGATGCTCCAGGATCCGGAATGAATGTCGTTCTGAGAGACGTCTCCAGGTCCAACCGGACAGTTCAGTCGAATCACACAGTCGTTCCGGCCACCCGACGCGCCAGTTGACACCGCGTGAACAACGTGATGGAACGACAGAGCCACGGGAACAACACCGCTTTGAGTTTTCCAGCGAGCTGTGCTAGGGTCAGCTATACAGGGAGCGGCAAGTAAAGTAATAACCAATAGCAAAATAAGAAATGCGAAAGTTAACTTAGAAGTCCATGCAAGGGCAAAAAAAAAGAAGTAAAAAGAAGGCAGTGCATCTAAACCAAGCGATACTACGGGCTAACTACCCTAGGATAGACTAGCTAGGCTATTCTGGTGATGGTGCAACACCCATTGGGCAGGCTGTCTAGAGCCAAGTTCATACCGACTATGTCGGTGCCCGTGCTGCCGATGGAGTAGCTCGTCGGCACCGTCACAGAGTACACCGTCTGAAATGGAGGAGAGGGAGGGCCGATGTCAGCGTCTTTACGTGGGGATTTATAGAAAAACGGTTACCGTGGCAATCGACAGAGGCAATTTACAATTCGAGGAAGTGCAGCACTTCGAAATATTTGTATATTTGTTACCCGAACGCTTTCAAACAATTATACTAAATGTTGAGCTAAAAAGCATTAATTGATCAATAATCTAAACGCACGCCATCAAAACAAAACAGTAGCAATTAATAAACACAGTACACCTTTACCACAAAAAAACACAAAAACTTTGTCTTTACTTATCGATACTCATAACTTTGGTCGTCCCGCGACCCGCACTGACCTGCGACAGGTCGAACGCTCCGTCGGCGGCCAGCGTCTCGACGGTGGCCAGCGAGCAGCTGACGTCCCCGCCCTGTTTGAGCAGCAGCGGCAGCGCGGCGGCGCCGGTGACCAGCGCTCCGACCCCCACGCCACGCACCACCACCGCCTCGCCGTCCGTCTGGGTCAGCACCAGGTACGGGTTCGCCTGGGCGCCGTTAAACTGGTCGGCGAAACACAGCGCCGTCCGCTGCCGGAGAGAACAGACGGGAGGTGAGCGGTGGAATTGAAGAGCTAAAATAACTACTTTATGCCGATAGAACATCTATGGGTAGGTGCACATAATTGTATGCGCATGCGTACACCTGCTCAAGACAAAATAGGCGCAAAGTTAATAACAATTAAGTACACATGCTAATTAACTCCTGACACGGTAAGCAAAAACACCAATAGGTAAACTGAGCCGTTCAGAGACCCATGGGCTGACTGCCGCTCCCTCCCACTCCCCCGCCCACCCCGAGGACGCACCTTGTCCACCGTGCTGGCTGTGGTAGTCGTCGTGGTCGTGGTGGTCGTCCCCTTCAGACTCAGCAGCAGCGTGTTCTTGTTGGCCAGCTGGTAGCTGTTGATGATCACTAGCGTCAGCAGGAAGCCGCTGGCCACCAGAGCGGTCGAGAGCAGCTTCAGGCGAGACGGAGCGAGCAGCGGCGCCAGGTGCCAGCCGGCGTACCCAGCCAGGGCCGGCCACACGACCATGGCAGCGGCGGGGAGCGGCGACAGACGCGAGAAGAGCAGCGGGGGAAGCGGCGAGAGGGCGGGACGGACCGGCAGGGGGTAAGGGATGGTGGCGAGCGAGGAGTAGGACGGCTGCACAAAAGTTGGCAGTTGACAGGAGACTCCTTCCAAAGTCTATAGCAGCCGACGATGGCACAGTTCAAGTCTGCTGCTTTTCTATTAGCGCCGTGCTATGATGATAAGTAAAGCAATTCGACTACTGCAGTAGAACGTCCCTGATATGAGCCACAAGATGAGCTCACCACCGGAGCGTCACCGACCAAATCAGCTTATCCCCTGGTACTGACCACAGCTGCCGTCATCCGAGCGCCTAAATAACCCGCCTCTAAACAACTTGTAGGCGCCGCAGTCGGGCAAATTAACCCACCGTGCCGAGTCGCGTGCCGCTCCGAGACGGCGACAGGCAAAACAGCGCCGGCGCCGGACGAAATTGGACGGCGCAGTGCGGGCAGGCGGGGCAGCGGGGCCGCCCCGTGACACGCTCAGTGTGCCGGCACCCTTTTCACCCCGCCCGGGGCCCGGGTCGGTCCGGTCAGTCAGAGCGCCGGCCGGTGGGTGGCCGACTTTTCTAATAACTGCTGCAGGTTTCTAATTGGCACATTTTCGCTGTTTAGATGTTTTGTAGGGTTCTGAATTAAGATGAAAGATAACTGGCCTTATCGCTGGGTTGAGTGAAATGAGGCAATTGATAAACACCCATCACCCATGGGATGACCGAGAAAAGTTTTCTGAGAGATGATAATGAAAGGCTTTATGATCAACAGCGCTTGGTACGTGACTTCATGATAACAATGCATCTACTGAACCAACTTTCCAAAGCAGATCGAGCAACAATGAGTTGAAGAAATAAAGCTTTGATGCCTCTTGGTAGGTAGGTATCGAATACGTTTGTAAACTCTGGAATGAATGACTGTTAAGCTAACAAGCACAAATCCTGCTCACTCTTGGTGCAGTGGTGCCACTACCACACCACAGTCGACGGCAAGATTACTTCTATCGAGCCGCAGCGTGACACTAGTCAATAAAAACGCGCTATCGCAGTGACCGCAATATAACGGAGGCTGATAGGTAACTTAGCAAACGCCAGAGTGCAATAACCCAACGGGTAACAACACCCCGATTACTCCTACGACTGTGCAATAACCGTGGTTCAGGAAGATTGAAGACCCTGCTCTGAAGTCATGCGGTGGCAGATTGGCTCTGATGTAAGCACGCCGCCCCGTGCCGTGGCGGGAGGATTCGCGAGGACACCCTTTTTACCCCTTGCTCGTGTACGCAAACATATCTCCATACACCCACGTCCACTATAAATGTGGCCACCGATATGCCTCATATTTGTATTATATGTAATTTATTAAGCAAGATTGGCCTCAAACATGAAGGTTATAGTTAAACCGTTTCAAATCATGTTGACACGATCAAAGGTTGCATCGCACATACATCACAGCCATTAAAAGCCATCAACATAACAAAACTATGGAACACTACAAAGTATTGCACACAGAGTAAATGCTCAGCGCGTATTGAATGATCCGAAATCACAGATGACAACCATGGGCAACACACTTTCAAACTGCTTTCAATCTTGCATCCAATCCATTTTATCACTGCTACAATACTTCACACAAAAATTGCCCAATGCTTAAACATCACCTGACCTTGATTGCACACTACACCTCTAAACCAGCAGAGCCCCCCCCCCCCCCATTGGACTGACCTGTTGGCACTCGTCGCCCACAGCCGCCGTTACGTCACGCGTCCCCCGGCGCCGGTCCGCCCGGGTCTCCGCTGAGCTCGGTCAGCCGGTCAGTGACTGAGCGCAGACCGTCGGCGCCCTCGAGCCGCCAGTAGCGGGACACCAGGTCCCTGACCAGCGGCACGTAGCGCTCCGGATCGGCGGCCAGCCGACCCGTCAGGTCGGCCGTCACCTCCTGTAGCGCCACGATCGCCGCACTCATCGCCTCCTCGGCGGGGTCCACTGGCGAGTCGGCACCGGCACCGGCCGTGTCCTCACTCAGTCCCCCGGAGACCGCTGTCTGAGCAGAACCGTCCTCTACACTGTTATCGATGTCAGTTATCGTGGGATTCCGCTGACACTCCCCACTGTCCGCACTGTCTGTCACACCCCCACCTTCCATCTGCAGTGAGCCGGTGTCGGCTGCGAGCAGACCTCCCTCGGTGTCGCGCTGTTCCCAGTCCGTCGTCCGGTCAGCCGCCGGTGAGCGCGGCTGCTCGGTGGATACGATCACCTCCACGCTGGGCAGGCCGGCGGCGGCGGTGACCGCCTGCAGCCAGCCGGCCGGCAGCGGCGCCGGGCCCGGCTCCAGCAGCGGCATATCAGTCGCCAGCTGACGGAGAACCGCCGCCGCCTCGGCGGCCACCGGCGCCACCGGCGGGCGCCGCTCGAGCCGCGCGGCCGCCGACTGGTGCGCGCACGGCGCGCCGCTGCGGCCCGGCCGGCACGTGCAGCAGCCCAGCTCCAGGTCCAGCTGGAACACCGCCTCGCCGTCGGTCACCTCGTGGCTGTGCGGCCCGGCGCGGCGCGCGCGCAGCTCCGACCCCGGCGGCGGCGGAACGTAGCGAGCGTGGCCAGAGGGCGGGCCGCCGCCGGACAGCGCTCGGCTGATCCGCTCTACGAAGTACGCATCCCCGTGGCGCGTCCAGAAATCAAACGCCTCGGCGGGCCCATACTCCGCGGCCATGAAGAGCAGTCGGTCGCGAAGCAGGCTGGCGGCCAGATCGAACAGACTGGCGGTGCGCGCGGCCGCACGGCCATCGGCGTCAGAGGCCTCCTCCTCGCCATACCAAACGGCCCATAGGTGCCGGTGCCGGTAGATCGACGTGAACTGCTTCAGGAAGTCTGCGTGGCGCGCCATGATCGGGTCGGCAGACGCCTCTCGAAAGCGGCGCTCCAGCTGGGCGACTGAGCCGGCGCACAGCAGACGCCGGGTGAGCAGCAGCAGTCGGGCGCGGTCCTCTGCCGACACCCGGCCGCGCACCTGCCACAGCCAGCGCCACACGGCCTGCAGCAGCCGGAACGAGCAGAGCACCGCCAGCGCCGCCGGGAAGCGGGCTGCCAGCGCCGCTCGCTGGCCGGCGCCGTCGTCCGTGATCACCACCTGCGGCCCGTCGGCGCCGCGGCCCGCGAACGCCCCCGGCGGCAGCGTGCGCAGCCACAACTGGAGTGCGGCGCGCAGCGCGCCGCCAGACTCGGAGGAGGCGAGCAGCAGGCCGAGCGGCAGCGCGCCCGCCTCACTGGCGCACACCAGCAGCCACAGGCAGCAGCCGTGCCGCTCCGACCGGCCCGGCGAGTCGACAAACACCAGCTCGCCGCTCTGCGGTAGGTGCAGGTGCACGCGCCGCATCAGCGGCGTGGTCAGCGCCGCCGCGAACCCGTACCCATCCAGACGGGCGAACGCGGCCGCCCCGCCGCCGGCAGCCATTTTCGTGCCGTACTCGGTCACCAGTTCCCGCAGGCGGGCGGAGATGGCGCCGGGGTCCGGCACCATGCTGCCGGCCAGCAGACTCTCCAGGCTCGGCAGCTCCTCGGCGCCCGGGTCTGCGCCCTCAGGATTCAGCGTCTGATGATCGGTTCGTCGTGCTGCGGGACTCTCTGAGCGGACCAGCTCCAACTCTAGCGTGGTGTCATCGGTAGAGCCCAGAATCAGATCGGCCGAGCGTTCAACCACGAGCTCAGCATCCTCCAAACGGTCCACAGTGATACTCTCACCACCAGACTCGAGCATCTGGTCTTCCGAGTCCATCCTGGATGCTGAACCCTCCTGCTCCAACACGGAATACTCACTATCGGTACCCAATGAGTCAAACGTTAGAATATCACCGTCAACAAGCTCCACTTGCAGCCGCGCGGCGTCGGTGCTTTCACAAGTCGTGGCAGGTTCTATGACGCCTCTCTCATCTCGCATCAAGCTCTTGCGGCCGTCCGACGCTTTATCAGGGTTATCGGCAACTTCGTCCTCAACTGTCGCTCCCGACGCGTCCCCGCTCTGTTCCAGCGCCACGGAGCGCTGCGCGGTGGCACGGCGCTGCGCCGGCGTGCCGTATCGCTGGTAGTATATTCGGCACACGTCCTTCAGCGTGGGCAGCACGGCGCGGTCGGCCGCCGCCAGCGGGTAGCACTCGCCCAGGTGCAGCTGCAGCTGGTGCTGGAGCGCGCGCCGCGCGGCCGACGGTGCGTAGCCGCGCGCCAGTAGAACCTCCAGGGCGTCGCGGGCCGCAGTCGACACGCCACGGAAGCGCAGGTCGGCCGCGCACCGCACCGGGTGGTTGTGTACGTGTCGGAGCCGCACGCAGCCGGGCGAGGCGGGCAGGTGGGGGTCAGTACGCTGGCTCACCTGTGCACTGCATACGCTGATAGCTAGCGCCGCCGGACAGGCCGTGTGCCGACCGTCCGGACCACTGGCCGCCACTGCAGCGCCTGGCACGTTGCGCTGGCAGCGGAACCATGCCTTGTAGATGAGTTGTGCCCCTGGCCTGGGGAACGTGCGTCGACTGCGGTATGTTGTCAGGCTACTCTGCTGGAAGGCAGCCAGCCACTCACGTGCCCCGCGCTCCGAGCTAAAGTTGACACGTAGTGTGGTAGAAAAGCCGCTAGTCAGCTGCTCATAGCTACAGACATGGTAGCTGTATTCAGGTGGCAAGAGCTCCAGCAATCTGGGAAGCGACTCCAGCTGTGGCCCAGCACCACGCAGACATGGGTAGCGCCGCCGACGTGGTGGCCGCCCCACAGGACCCAGTCTTCCGCTGCCTGGCACCAGAGTATGGCGAGCCATAGCTTCAGTGTCAGTTACTACAGAAACAATTATGCCTTTGGTTCCGCATAAGGACTCCAATCACTGATGATGTTCAATCCAATTGATTCTTATCAGGCAGATTGAATATTTCAAGCCTTGTATCAGCTAATTATTGTAAAAAGCAAGTCTCCAGAAAAAGCTGTGATAATAGACTAGAGTTACCAACAGTCCTTTACATTTAGGTTAGGTGCCTACCTCGGCATAAGTAGAGCAGACATCACACAAAGGTTTTCCAGCCGAGGAGAGGTGCTGTAGGTTTGCAGGTTGTAGGGTAGGCTTGCAAGTTGTAGGTTCGTAGGTTGTAGGTTTGTAGGTTGTAGGTTTGTAGGTTGTAGGTTAGGTTAGGTCAGGTACTTAGGTTAGGTTTGTTTAGGTTTTATGGAGCCTCTCAGTTGGGGAAACTACGAGGCGAATGTCAAAAAATGGATTGGTCAATAAATGGACTTTTGATGACCATATATGGGCATAAATGCAGCCCCCACTACTAAGGGTGAAAAACGGTATAACAAGCCGGTACTTGCGGTATCGCGTCCACTTATTGGAGAGAAAAGGCTTCCATTTTTCACTAGGAATTAGTGTGATTTGATTAAATTCGGCGAATTGACTCGAAAATGGCGATAGGAAAACGGCTTTTCTGCAGGTTCTGGGCATCACAATCAGCTGGCCATTCAATAAATGGATTGGTTTTATGAAAGAAAATTGTTAAAAGATTTAATTTAATTACAATAAACAAAAATATTTAATTCTAAAATAAAAACTTAACTACAATTAGAAAAACCATAAACAAAATAATAAAAATAATGACATTTTTAAACCACAGTACTGCTTACATTTTTTGGCGCGTCTGTTTCAATCCGCCATATTTGCCAATCACGGTTTGACCTTGCGTTGTAACTTTGCGATTTAGATCCGCCAGTTAATTATACACCGGGTGAGTGAAGGCCTTGTGTGGTTAAAAAACATTCTTATGCCTAATTTTTTCATTTGAATGCTAAAATTCATTGAAAAGATGAAGTCTGATTTTATGAACATATATGGTCATCGCCCCGCCCACTCCAGCCGCTGATTGGCTAATCCAATTTTTGTTTGGCTCCTCGTAGTTTCCCCAACCGCTCTCCTTGGTTGGAAAACCAAAACCTTCGTGTGACGTCTGCTCACTGAACTCTGTCTGCTCTTCTAATACCCCTCCCTCTACCTTATTTTCTAGCATTTTCTAGTCTGAATCCACTCCAAATAACAAGAAAACTGATATAAACGGAAATAAATGGTTATTTTAAAAAATAATAAAGTAAAATCACGATGATCTACATTGACATGCTACAATTTACAAATAAATGCGAAAATGCCTGCGCCGGAAATGTAAGACGTGCGGCAGAATTACAACTAAATTAAAGCAGCAAAAAAGATGCAAATATTTATACAATAAATCGACTTATAAATTAGGCCTCTGAAAAATGAAGACCTAGTCTTGACTGACTTGGCCTTGCCTAATAAATGAACATTACCACACCACACCCTAATAATCTAAAAGCAACTAATTTACAAAATTCAAAATGCTAATATGCATCATTACAGCCTACAACTCTTTAGCTAAATTTTGCTGTGTTTTAAAGTAGTTTCGGTCTTTTACCAGAAATAAAGGCCAAGGCCCTAAATACTATCTGTAAGTTTTACATGTGTGAATCAAATCAGTACAAATTCTTAATCTTCTTAATTAATTCTTCTTAAGGGCAAATTCTTAATTCCAATCAAACTTAGTCCAGACGATCAAAGGGACTTTTATGGGGATTCCAGATTCTGAGAATTATCATGTCGATGACCCTTTCAGCAGCACGGCATGTGCGCGCATCAATTTAAATTTGTGCATGTCTACCTTCAAATTGATGCAGCACAGTTTATCTCATCTCCAGTGAACGCACTGTTAAGTATGTATTAATGGTATTTACTATTTGGTATATACATAGCAGGTTGTACCTTGGGGGCCCTAATTAGAGTTGTGGGCCGTGGGGGACTTATATTTTTATCCTTTGACCTTTTGTGCTAAATATTTTGAATTTTAGCATGTTGATTTCGATTACCATGCTGACATGAAGAAGCTGTTTCCAGTCATTAAAAAGTTATTTGAAATAGGCCTGTATTGCTGCTAGCTGAATTATGAAACACACGATTTCATTTTTATCTTAATTTTTGTAATTAAGTGACTTGTGAAAATATTAAAGCTTGGGTTATTTCTCTTAAAAGGAAATGTTGACTAATCTGAATCCCTTTCACAGCTCATCAGTTCTATTACTACAACAGATATCTGTGATGCTGGCAAATAGCAATGGTAAGTTCTTGAACTTTTGGCTAAAACCACTACTTTGATTTATAAAAGATAAGTACATTGTGTTGCCATCCCCATAAGCTATTGATCTGTGTGTTTTTACTTTAGTTTTTGCCAATATTCCTTTCAATAGTTATCTTTCTTCACCATGCATCTCGAATTGGGGCAGTATCTGTCTCATAAGTTTACAAAGAATCAAGACATATTAAGGTTGTACATGATTCAATCTTGTCTTTGAAATGGATGTCTGTGAAGTTAGCCAACATCCAACACAACACAATTTGCAACGTTGAGCTATAGCCATAAAGCTGGGTTGTAGGTCAAATGTAACATGCTTGTGTGATGAATACCACTCTTAGAATTCCATTAAAAGAATGGACTCCCCCCCAAAAAAGCTTGAAAAATGAGAGTGTAGGTACCTTTTTCGGGAAAAAGGTGAATTGCACGGTGTAAATGGTTCCAAATGAAAGCACGGCCAAAAATGCAGGTGGGTCATTTTTCTTATTTTTAACTTAAGGGACACTTGTCCCTATAAAAATCAAAAGCCCTAAAAATTACAGTGCACCTTTTTCGGGAAAATGGTGCATTGCATGGCGTTGCAACTGGTCACATATGAAAGAACGCCCTAAAATGCAGGTGGTTCATCTTTTTGATTTTTTATTTATGGGACCCACCCTTGTCCATTAAAAAATTTAAAAAAAACGTTCAAAAATGGCAAAGTTTACCTTTTTACGGGAAAATGGTGCATTGCACGCCGCTATAAATGGTTCCAAATAAAAAAACGCCCTAAATTGCAGGTGGAGCATCTTTTCGATTTTTTATTTAACCCTAGCATGTGTACCGAGGGGGGTCGGATGGACCCCCATGGTTTTTCGAGAATAACTCGCGCAAAAAGCGGCCGATCCCGACAAAACTTTCAGTACCCTCGAGTTGATCAATTTTACACCTACTCTGAAAATGTCATGACCCTGACCCAAGTGACCTTTGACCTGTGACCTATTTCTCGAGGCCATGTTCGGCCGGAATCGCGATTCGGCGTATGTCGGCTCGCATTATCCACGCGTTTGCAGTCTTTTTGTGGTTTGAAGCGTTCAAACATGGGATATGATGTTGCTCCCATGCATTAGGGTGGGAGAGTGTCGAGGTCACCTGAAGGTCAGGCTGGGTCATTGACCCTTGATGACCTCGGCTCACTTTTTCGAGTTTCACAGGTTTCTTGGCTAGTTTTTGGAGCTGAATTCGAATTTAGCAACCATTTGAACATTTACCTAGTAGTTTTGGTGCATTCGTAACATGTTACGAAGCTGTCAGAAGCGGTGACTTGACACCTACTGGGACATTCCACGATAGATCGACCAAAGCCGTACGCCCTCATATGTTATGTTCTGCTTAAAATTGGTGTACCTAATGCCATGGGTTGTGATGGGAGGGGAAGCCAGCTGTGGCAAGGAATTTTTTTCTTCGAACAACGGTTTCCGAGATCATAGGCGCGGGAACTGGGGGGGGGGGGGGGGGGGCAGTGGGGGTAGCTTGCCCCCCCCCCTCCAACTCTGGGGCCGTAGGGGCGTTGCCCCCACAACTTTGAGACGGAATATCGCACTTTTCTGCAAATGTTTTCTTTTTTGATGAAAAAGCCAAGGGATGAAAAATAAGTGGCCTAAAACCGGTGAGAAAACTAGATTTGGGGGTACCCTAGGTTGATCTCTATTATGGTGTGCCCTCCCCCACCCCCCACCCCAGTCTGAAAGTAGTTCCCGCGCCCCTGTCCGAGATATAGCCTCGGGCAATTTCTGGAGGTCACGCTGCAACCCTATGTTTGGTGGCCTATAACTCAGAAACTATTGATTTTCTATGAGGAAAACTTTATATTGTTCAACTCGCAATCAACCAATGAACATTTTGGCTTTCTCGGTTTTTTAATTTTGAAAATTTGATCACGTGACCTCTTGACCTATTTTTTTTTTTTTTGAAGAGTGACCTTGATATTTTCCCCACCGAAAGTTGCATTTTTGTCTGAGACGATTAAAGCCTTACCTACCAGTTTTCTTTCATATGCGACAATAAAAAAGTGGCTCTCGGCCTGCGTTGACCTCAGTTCAGGTCGTTTTTGTGACCTACCCTTTATAAGTTAATGGCAGATATATCGGCTACCACCAAAATGCATCTTACCCGTTCAAATACTTTTGAATCATGTTGAGTTAGGCTATTATTGATAGCATTGGTGCAGCTTTGCATCAGTGACCCGCTGAAAGGTCATCCGGGGTCACCCGTTGAACACAGGACAATAATTTAACTCTTTTGACTGTATCTTTTGATCTTTTAGAGCGAGAGACATGGAACAGGCACCATTGTGTTTGCCTTGGCCTAGCGCCAGTTCGCTTTAACCCGCGCACCGACGGAGGGGGGCGGATATCCGCCTCCCTGAGGTTTTTCGCGAATAGCGGGAAAACCGCGGCGCGTAGCGCCGCGAAATTTGCTACGACTATTCTCTCATCAATTTTACACATGGTGTGCAAGTTTGAACCTCCTAACTTTTAAGCTCAGGTCACCAGGTCACTTTGAATGACCCAACCTCAAGTCACTTTTTTGCAACTTTGTCACCGTGCCAGAGCTACAGTAGATGTCGGAGGCCTTTGAAAGTCGCAGGATGTTATTAGGTCATTAGTAGCTACAATTTGTATATCTCGGAATTTTGATGTCGGTGACCTAAGGTCAGGTCAATTTCGCGACCTCCCCATTATAAGTCAATGGGGGAAAAATCAACTCCCTGTTTTTACCACTAAAACGGGTCGGAATGGCCCCATATACCATACATGACTTCATATACGATGAACCTTCACTACCTTGAGGTCTGTTTTGCTGTTGGGCAGCTGTAAGGTCATGTGACGTCATCAAAGGTCACCAAAGGTTTTTTGCCAATAACTCCGTACAGGAACAAGATACAGACGCGTGGATGGTCTCATTGTGTTCAGCTCGTCAAGACGCATCGAATGATATACATGATGACCTCGAGGTCACGTGACCTGAGGTCAACCTTTGACCTTGACCTTTCGAGGTCAACATATATATCGTTCGATGCGAATTGACGAGAGAATCACGATGATGCCCTTAGTTTGTTCCTATCTTGACTAATTCGAAAGTTATTCGAGAAAAACTCTCTCCATATCTAGCGCCGCCATTTTGACTTTTTCGACCCCTGTGACGTCATCTTTGACCTGACCTGAAAATGACCTTAGTAAAAATTGTAGACCTTGTCCGTGCGTATCCGATGCCGTTTACTGCTTGTCGCTATCTTGCTTCGTTCTCGAAATCTCAGGGGGGCGGTCATCCGCCCCCCCCCCCGTCGGTGCGAAGTTGGCGCAGACCCCCGTCGGTGCGCGGGTTAAATTTCGACATCGATGACCTAAGGTCAGGTCAATTTCTTGACCACCCCACTTAAAGTCAATGGGGCATAAATCGGCTACCTTATTTTTACATTAAAACGCTTCGGAATTGCCCAATATACCTTGAGTGACTTTATATACGATCAACTTTGAATACCTTGAGGCCTTTTTTGCTCTTGGGCAGCTATAAGGTCATGTAAGGTCATCAAAGGTCACCAATGTTTTTTTTTTGCTAATTACTCCTTATAGGCTCGAGATACAGCTGTGCGGATGGGCTCATTGTGTTCAGCTCGTCAAGGCGCATCGAATGATACACATGATGATCTTAAGGTCACGTGACCTGAGGTCAACTTTTGACCTTGTCCTTTCGAGATCCACATATACATGTTTCGATACGGGTCGACGAGAGGATCACGATGGTGCTATTTATTAGTTTATTCCTTGCTGGGATGCATCGAAAGTTATTCGAGAAAAAAAAACTATAGCGCCGCTATTTTGACATTTTTAGCCCTGTAACGTCATCTTTGGCCTGACCTGAAAATGACCTTTGTAAAAATTGTAGACTTTGTCCGTGTGTACCCTATGCCGTTTACCGCTTGTCGCTATCTTGCTTTGTTCTCGAGGTCTCTCTGTCGCTCCCGCTGGTAATAATGGGCAGGCCACAAAAATGACCTGACCTGAGGTCAACGTTGGCCGAAAGCCATTTTTTTATTATCGCATATGAATGACATTTGACAAGGTTGTCATCAGACAAAATTGCAACTTTCAGTGGGGAAAATATCAAGGTCACTCTTCGAAAAATAGGTCAAGAGGTCACGTAATTAAAATTTTTAAAAATTGAAAGTCCGAGATAGCCAAAATGTTCATTGGCTGATTGCGAGTTGAACGATATAAAGTATTTCTCATAGAAAACCAATAGTTTCTGAGTTATAAGCCGCCAAACATAGGGTTGCAGCGTGACCTCCAGAAATTAGCCGAGGCTATATTTCGGAAACTGTTGTTCGAAGAAAAAAATCCTTGCCACAGTTGGCTTCCCCGCCCATCACAACCCCATAGACCAGTTTTAACGAAAAATAGAATATGTGGATTTTGGGTGTCAATTTTTTTTTGTCGATCTATCGTGGACTACCCGGCAAAATCCTTACTGGATGACCTGGCCTGACCTGATCCGACCCGACCTGGCCTAAATAGCATGAATACATTATCTGTGATCAAAACTAACATGATATGCGTGATCAGCAGTCAGCACCCCGATAAACCCTACATCAGCCACGCTTTACGACGTTTTCTAACAGGTCTCGCTTTTCCGGCTTTTGGGTCATTGACTTGACCTGGAAGGTTAACCAATGACCTAGGACCTTAACACGCGCACTGCAGGGGGGGGGGTTCAACCCCCCTCTGGTTTTTTGGCTGCAACTCAAAAACCAGTGAAGCTACGACTTTGAAACTTTGTATAGCTGTTCATCAAACAATTTTACATCACCTATGAAAACATTAGTGTTAGGTCATGCAAGGTCAGGTCACCAGGTCACGATAAGTGACCTCACCTCATAAAAAGTTTGACGCTGTGCTACACCCACACCATTTGACTGAATGCTATGAAACTTTCAGAAATATATTAGGAGACCATAAGGAACATTTTGTATATTTCGAAATTTTTATTACTGTGACCTTAGGTCAGATCACTTTTTGGGGCCCGGCATGCAATTTCGGACATAACTCGAGAAGTATGGGACATAGAAACGTCATTCTTTCACCATCCCGCTCATTTTATCAAGACGCGTCGATCAAGATGCAACTTGACCTAGTTTGGTCTATCTTTGACCTAACATGACCTCGATCTCAGGTCACCTGAGGTCACCAACGGTTTTTCTTCAATAACTTTTAATTGAATAGAGATAGAGACTCCGTTTCACGTTTATCGTGTTTGTCTCGTCAATGCGGATCGAATGATATGCAACATGACCTATTTCGGTCAGGTCATGACCTTGACCTGAGGTCAACTTTTGAAATTGACCTTTCGAGGTCATATTATATACCATTCGATGCGCCTTGACGAGCTAAGAACGATGGCGATGGTGTGTGAATTATTTCTCTATCTCTTTGGGAAGAAAAGTTATTGCAGAAAAAGCATTTCCGGAAAATTTGCAATATTGATCTGACATTACATGACCTCTATAGGCTGAACCGTTGACCTTAGGTCAAATCTGAGGACAGCTCAGCGAAAGAACGTTTCAACAGATATCGAATGTTTTTTTTTCGCAACTTTCTAGCTCATCTAGTTCCCGAGATAAAGCGGGAAATATGGAGGGATGTCGAGATCGCTAAAAAATCGCAACATTTTGAGTTTGGTGACCTCTGCTGACCTCGTTTTTGACCTGACCCAAAAATGATCTAAGTATTTCTTGTAGATATCATCTCAACCTATCCAACGCCGTTTACCGCTTGTCGCTACGTTGCGCCGTTTTTGAGATCTCAGGGGGGTTGTTGTTTTCACCCCCCCCCCCCCTGCAGTTCGTGTTCGGCTCAGACCCGCTGCAGTGCGCGTGTTAAAATTGGGTATCATCGGCTTCCTCTCGTCACGGGCAACACGCCCGATTTTCCGCGAAGCTCTAGCTCGATCAGGGGCGAAACGGCAAGGGGGGGGGGGTTCAACGGACCTCCCCCCCCCCCCATTATACGTTCGCGGCTGGCAAAACACCAATACGTGCGATGGTTTACCCGCGGCGACGGGGCGGTTATCCCCCCCCCCAGTTTTTCATTAACGCGAGGGAAAAAAAAACGCGGCGCGTAGCTCCTCGAAATTTGGCATGACTATCACTAAATCAATTTTACACATGTTGTGCAGGTTTGAACCAGGGCTGCGGAGTCGATGGATTTTAGGGTGACTCCGACTCCGACTCCGACTCAAGCTCTGCCTCTGGACGTTTCTCTGTTCCTTTTCAAATCCTTATCATGATAATAAGGTTCAAAGTTGATATGCTTTTATTTTGCCTGACACGATCCATTGTGCTTCCTAGGCCTTGCATTGCAGATATGCTTTATAAATAACATGCAGAATTGAAAAGTAGGTTCTGGTGATTTCGCCGTCTTCTGCTTCTTTCGCTAAAAACGTTTGTCCAAAACAGGACTATGGCTTTTTTCGACATCATCTTATTTCGAAAGGTCAACGAGCGTAGTATCGCCAGGTGCAGGGCATGATGTTCAGCCATGTATGATGTATGTATAGTTAACTCCGGCTCCGGAGTCGGATTCGGTAAGATTTTAGCGACTCCGACTCCAACTCCGACCGATTCCAGGCAGAACTGTCGACTCCGACCGACTCCTCAGCCCTGCTAATAACATTGTTAATTAACCCATATATGCATCCTATTGTATAACCCACATATACTATATTGATTTGTCAGTAGTCACACTTTCACCACACACACACGCACGCATGCACACACTTTCTTCCCCCCTGATACGTTCATCCGCCTACACATTTCATTATGCTTACTTATGTATGAAACCGATTTGAAATAGCACATCGTCTTTGAATGCAGATATAGTTACACTTAAAATTTTTACTCTACTCCCTTGCGTGACCGAGATTACTTTCGTGTGATGCCCCCTTATTTCTCTGACGTTATTTCTCTTGCCTATGTACATCTGCCTATGCACACGCTTCAATATATTTTATAATGTATATGCGTTTAAGACATCGATTTCACTTCATTTAACATCTTGCAAAGTTTATCTCGCTGCATTTAGAGTCTACACTTCATTAAATACCCTATCAGTCCTCATTGGCGGGGAGCTCTTGTTTGGCGAAAACATGCCTGCCAGAAACTGGCCGTGGATACGCCTCTGACAAAGCTCTCAAAATATCAGCACGAAATCGTACCCGTCTTCATAATTCAAAATGGTAAACGATTCTGTGACTTTGGTACCTACGTGTAGGGTAATTGAATATAAATTTCCCCCAGTAGTACCTTAGTGCCTAAGTCGTATGTTGGATACTTGTATTCGCTACCCGTATTCCAAGTTTACTCTGCGGTTCTTTCAGGCATGCCAAGTATTAAAGATAACAAGAAAGAAGAGTTATATTCTGTTGGGCGTCTTTGTGCTGCTGTCGGTGGCTTACACCTTCTGGTCCGCCAAACACCACCAGGCATTGGTGTACTATGTCAGAAACCGGTTCATCAACCAGGCGTTGTACCGTGCGCCAGAGCTGAACGCCGCCGAGCTCAACAACACGCACCTGCTCCTCTACTGGACACCCTTCTTCCAGAATGTGGCCTTCGACGGCTTCGGCCGGAGACCGTTCGCCAAATGCCCGGTGAGGAACTTTAACCCGCGCACCGACGGGGGTCTGCGCCAACTTCGCACCGACGGGGGGGGGGGGGGCGGATGACCGCCCCCCCCCCTGAGATCTCGAGAACAAAGCAAGATAGCGACAAGCGGTAAACGGCATCGGATACGCACGGTCAAGATCTACAATTTTTACTAAGGTCATTTTCAGGTCAGGTCAAAGATGACGTCACAGGGGTCGAAAAAGTCAAAATGGCGGTGCTAGATATGGAGAGTTTTTTCTCGAATAACTTTCGAATTAGTCAAGATAGGAACAAACTAAGGGCATCATCGTGATCCTCTCGTCAATCCGCATCGAATGATATATATGTTGACCTCGAAAGGTCAAGGTCAAAGGTTGATCTCAGGTCACGTGACCTCGAGGTCAACATGTATATCATTCGATGCGTCTTGATGAGCTGAACACAATGAGACCATCCACGCGGCTGTATCTTGTTCCTGTACGGAGTTATTGGCCAAAAACCTTTGGTGACCTTTGATGACGTCACATGACCTCACAGCTGCCCAACAGCAAAACAGACCTCAAGGTAGTGAAGGTTGATCGTATATGAAGTCATGTATGGTATATGGGGCCATTCCGACCCGTTTTAGTGGTAAAAATAGGGAGTTGATTTTTCCCCCATTGACTTATAATGGGGAGGTCGCGAAATTGACCTGACCTTAGGTCACCGATATCAAAATTCCGAGATATACAAATTGTAGCTACTAATGACCTTATAACATCCTGCGACTTTCAAAGGCCTCCGACATCTACTGTAGCTCTGGCACGGTGACAAAGTTGCAAAAAAGTGGCTTGAGGTTGGGTCATTCAAAGTGACCTGGTGACCTGACCTTAAAAGGTAGGAGGTTCAAACTTGCACACGATGTGTAAAATTGATGAGGGAATAGTCATACCAAATTTCGCGGCGCTACGCGCCGCGTTTTTCCCGCTATTTGCGAAAAACCTCAGGGGGGGGGGGGCGGATATCCGCCCCCCGTCGGTGCGCGGGTTAAGGAACTTTCCCGCATTATCTGAATTCGACATCAAGCCTGTCCTTGTTTCACTGCGTGGTATGTATTTTATGTTGTTTGTGACTCCCCGATTCCGCTCTCTCTCTCTCTCTCTCTCTCTCTCTCTCCTCTCTCTCTCTCTCTCTCTCTCTCTCTCTCTCTCTCTCTCTCTCTCTCTCTCTCTCTCTCTCTCTCTCTCTCTCTCTCTCTCTCTCTCTCTCTCTCTCTCTCTCTCTCTCTCTCTCTCTCTCTCTCTCTCTCTCTCTCTCTCTCTCTCTCTCTCTCTCTCTCTCTCTCTCTCTCTCTCTCTCTCTCTCTCTCTCTCTCTCTCTCTCTCTCTCTCTCTCTCTCTCTCTCTCTCATCTCTCTCTCTCTCTCTCTCTCTCTCTCTCTCTCTCTCTCTCTCTCTCTCTCTCTCTCTCTCTCTCTCTCTCCTCTCTCTCTCTCTCTCTCTCTCTCTCCTCTCTCTCTCTCTCTCTCTCTCTCTCTCTCTCTCTCTCTCTCTCTCTCTCTCTCTCTCTCTCTCTCTCTCTCTCTCTCTCTCTCTCTCTCTCTCTCTCTCTCTCTCTCTCTCTCTCTCTCTCTCTCTCTCTCTCTCTCTCTCTCTCTCTCTCTCTCTCTCTCTCTCTCTCTCTCCCTCTCTTTCCCTCTCTCTCCCCCCCCGCAGGTCAACAACTGCGTGGCCACCAACGACCGGCGGTACTTGCGTCTGGCGGACGCCGTTCTGTTCCACGGCGCCGACATGAGCGTGTTGGACCTGCCGGCTGAGCGCTCGCCGCGCCAGCTGTACGCCTATTACGTGCACGAGTCTCCGCCGCAGCTGGACATGCTGCTCGGGCCGCTGAACTCGGCCTTCAACATCACACTCACCTACCGGCGTGACTCGGACGTGCACATGCCGTACTTCCGCCTGGTCGCCTGCAACGAGTCCCAGTCACTGGCGGTGACTCAGGACCGGCAGTCGGAGCTGACGCCCCCGCCGGGCGTGGTGCCGCCCGGCGGGCCGCTCGTGGCATGGGTGGTGTCGCACTGTTCCACCGACGGGCGCCGTGAGGACTACGTGGCCCAGCTGCGGCGCTACATCGCCGTCGACGAGTTCGGCGCGTGCTCGGGCCGGCCGTGCCCGCGGCCCGGCGCGCTGCAGTGCTACCAGCACCTGGCGCGCTCGCATCTGTTTTACCTGGCGTTCGAGAACTCGCTGTGCCGCGACTATGTGACGGAGAAGTTTTTTAACGCGCTGCACGTCGGCCTAGTGCCGGTGGCTCGCGGCGCCACCAGGGCCGAGTACGAGGCTCTTGCGCCGCCCGACTCCTTCTTGCACGTGGACGATTTTGCCGGGCCTCAGGAGCTGGCCGATCACCTCCGCTGGCTGGCCAGCAACGGAACGGCGCTGGCGCGCTACCACCGGTGGCGGAGTCAGTATCGGTTCGCGCCCAGGGAGCGCTGGTGCCGCCTGTGCGAGCTCATGTCACGCCACATGGAGCCCGGCACCGCGGTGCTGCCCGACCTGCACTCCTGGTGGTACGAAGGTGCTCAGTGTCACAGCTAGTCAGTGACAGCTACTAGTCTGCAGCTAGTCTGGATGTGGTTGTTGATGTATAGGGACCGTATTTCACCCGGAAGTCGTTTCGTCCATTTTGACACATGTGTTTTGTGTGTGATACGTTATGCATATTTCTATTAACCTCGCCCTTGTGTGATTAGAGTCCACCCGCGTTGATCAGTTGCTGAGCAGTGATTATTGTGATTTTGCGTCAACAGCATTTACGTGATTTTTACTGCTTTGTTTTATGCTTTTTACATCTTCATGGCAGCATTTTGATTTTCCCACCTTGCTTGATAGAGCCAGTCTGATAAGCGATATGTATGTACCTACACGGGCCCTAAGTTTATCCTGAATTACTGGTGTATGCGGACCGCGTTTCACCCGAAACTCGTCGTTTCTTTTGACACGTGTTTTGTGTGACATATGTTTCTAATAGATTCACCCGTAATTGAGGTCCGCCCGCGTGGTCAGTTAATGAGTAGTGATCATTGGGATTTTGCGTCAACAGCATTTGCGTGATTTTTATCCTGTTGTTTTATTCTTTTTTATATCTTAAATGGCAGCTATTTTTGATTTTCCCACCTTGTTTGATAGAGCCAGACTGCCGATAAGCTATATGTACACGGGCCTTAAGTTTATCCTGAAGTTATCCATAAGTTCCTTATTTAACAACTGGCTTTAATGTGGCCTATGACACTTTTCCATTGTAATGCTACCTCGCCCTTGGCGTGGGCCACATGCACGTGTCGTCAGTGATAACATCAAGGCCATGTTACTGTCATTTTACGCTTATGGACCAATGGTGGAGGTGTAGATCAAATGGCCAGTGCGATTGTGACACCATTTGTTCATAAAATACAGGGTTATCTCGTCTGTGTGCCATTGTCCAATGATGCAAGCCGTGTGACAGGGCGGTGTAGGTGATAGGTTTCTATCCGATGCTCTTGCTCGCTCCTTATGCTATACCTACATGCGCCATCGTTTATTTGTCAAATGCAACGTGAACTTTGTGACTATCGGATGCAATAAACTCTGCATAATCTTATTTCCTCGGTTCGGCCGTGCCGTTGGTCGATCGAACTATTTTCCACTGAAGAGTAATAAGCATTATTGCATTTCTGATCTGTGGCGATCTGCACTACAATGCCCAGGCGTTGTATTACTCAGGCTTATTAGGTGTAACGAATTGCTGTTTTAGGCCACTCAGTAGTTATAATCCACGCCTAGTTGCGTAAGGGACCCATTCGCCGGAAAGGCGGGACCGGGAGCACTGGGGTTCGGACACTTCGGGCATGGGCATGGCCATGCTTTTCCGACAGGGGAAGGACTGCGGGTTCGGGCCACCACTAGTAAGGTTATGGCAAAATGAATGCTTATAAGGGATTGCAACAGCAAATGTGGCCATTTTTTGTAGGCTGGCAGTAGAACGGAGCAACCAGGGTAGAACGTGTGAGCGGGATAGAGAGGGCTTAGTACCAAACCAAGCTCTGTGTAGTAGTCAGCAGTGTAGCAGTGTGCGATTATATCTAATTCTCCTTTTTACCACTGAAATTAAAAATATGGTAGGCATATAGAAAACGAGATTGCAGAGTGGGAATGTAAGGGAGGTCCCAGGAAATTGAAGTTAGTGTTACATATTTAAAGCTATCTTTAAGTTAACGATGCTAGTAATAAAAGTCCAATAAGTTGATACAAAATATCATTTTTGTTGATTTGATGACGTAAACAACAGATAAAGGGAGCATTTGAGATTCTATAGGCATTACCAACCATTATTGTTTTGCAGAATCCATCAAATATATTTTATCAAAGTAAATATACGAGTTTCTTTTTTAAACTACGATATTTTGGGATACGAAACATAATCTTTATTCGCTGAGAATTGGCGCGCACGCGTTTGTATACATTTTGCTTGCGGCTTGCATCTGCTGCTGAATTGGCGGTGTTAGTGTGGTCAGTGTCAGCAAGATGCCTATAACATTAAAAATCGTCAGTGTTGGGAGAATCTGAATGGAAAAATAGGACTTGGATTAAGATAAATGCCAGGCCCAGAAGTGAAAATTATAATGGTTTTCCCGATTGACGTCTAAGAAAGGTTTGTATCCATGATTAAAGGGGCCCTCCCACCTTCAAAAAAGTTAATGAATTGGCATGAAAGCGATGTCGCTCGGTTCAGAAAGAGCGAAAACGAATATCTACCAAATTTCATCGAAAAATATTCACCGGTTTTCAAGATATTAGACTTTTACTTTTCTGTACTTTTTGTTATCTTTGCTGTTCCTAGCGACTTTGTTTGAAAGTGCGACACTTGTTGCAAGCAAAGCGGCATGTACCGGTAAATGTCAAGTTTAAGTCCTAAGAAGATTTCATTGATAAATTTTTCATATTTTTACATTATTTGACATCCTGAATCCAAAAATGATACTCATATGTCTCGCAAATAAAAGAAAAAACAATCAAACCTGACCTAACCTTACCTACTTACCTATAACCTACCAACCTACAACCTACAAACCTACCCTAACCTAACCTAACCTACAAACCTACCTACCTACAACCTAAAACCTACAAACCTACAACCTAACCTAACCTAAAACCTAAAATTTTTGCTGTTTCATATTCGTATCAACAGCGTCACAATTGTAGTTAGGACCTAAACTTGACATATACCGCATGTACCACCGTGTGCTACCAAACGTTTTAGTAAAATATTAAAAATTGTTAGATCTGTGCTGACGTCACAAATTCTAAGGGGGAATTCCAATCCATTAGCCCCTTAGAACCAGACTGGAAAACATCCATGCACTACTCTGTACGTACGCCCGTGAGACCAGCCTGCTCCGAAATTCTGCGCAAGTGATTTTGCGCTGAAATTTATGCATGATTTGCGCCAAAAATTAGGTGTCTATTTGTGCGAACATAAAGCCCTTTTCATACACATGTATAAAGCACATGTGCACATCTACTGATCAAGACTATATCAACTAGACAGAGTGTTTCGGGGCTTTGTACGCTCTCCCATGTTTGAGCGTCCTAATGAGTTTTTATTTCCATATAAATTGTAAACCCAAGACCTCGGCGGGAGCCAGCGAGGGCCGGGCAGCGGAGCAGCATGTGCTCCGGCACATCAGCCTCTTCTCGGCTCACGGTGCAGAGCGCCGCTGGGCACTGCTTGTATGGGCACTGCTGGCACGCGGCGGAGTGGAGACAGCCGATTCGGTGCTGTACTGGAGCGAGCGACCCCTGTGGCCTGCCCTCATCTGATGCACCGAAATGGCATCCTCTCGGTCCTCTCCGGGAATAGGGAGCGGCGGAGTGCTCCCAAGGAGTGGCTTGAATAGTGATTCTGAGCAGTTGTTGCGCCACTGATGCGAGGCCGCACAATGAACCGCTCTGGTCAGCGATCAAGGGTTTGAGGGCAGGGCAGCCGCCAGTTTTGCCAGGTCGTCCGCGCTCTCATTCCCCTCGATGTACTGCAGTGGGCAGGAACCCACTGCTATTGCTTAACGACGCTTGGTGACGTTCAACAAGGTTTTCCATACCTATCTCTATGCCGAAAGTTGAGGCCTCACCTGGGCGGCCCTTCCTCCGCTGAGTAGACTCAGGGCGGCTTGCCAGTTCGAGCACGCGACGACCGGGGCGGGGATGCTCATGTCATTTGAGGTCATTTGGAGTTGAATTTAGCTTAGGTCAGGCCACTTTCAGGTCAAAAAGGTCAACTTTTTAAGTTATTTCTCAACAAAAAAAGGTGTCTATCGGATGCAGTTTGAGTTCAGGAACACGATGGTGCTATTTATTTTGGTGTACCATGTCGAATACGTACTGGAAAATTGATTTGAGAACTTGATAATAATGAAATGTTTGCTATAATGCATAAAACCTAGCTGTTTTTGAAGATATCTGGCTACAACTTGCTAGAGTAAATCATAAGCATGTGTTCTATCATTAAGATTCCGTTTTTTTACGAAAAGACAAAAACTTTTTGAAAGAAAGATACAAACATAAATTTTAATTTTGATATGTAATTTTCGAAATATCAAAATTTTGAAAATCCGAGATAACACTTAACAGTTTGATACCGCAGCCTGTTCTGAGTCCTCTCATGCAAAGAAATTGGATCTAGCTTAAAAATGCTCTTGAGAGCGATTGCCTTCGTTCAATGTTTTTGTTCGAAATCGGCCGAACATGACGTCACGTCATTTCCGGCCGATCTATGATAGTTACGAAGCTCATATTTTGACACAAGGTGTCAAATTGATACAGCCCAGTGTCCCAAAATTTGCCCACTTGGGTGGGAAACGACATCCAAATACAATTCATTTTCCACTCTCACCACCAATTTTTAAGAGCAATTTTCCACTCCCAACCAAGAAAACCTAGAATTTTTACGTAGAAGAGGCATGGTTGTGTGGATGCTCCGTTTTACATCATACACTTTGCACCCTAGAATGAAAATCCATGTTATTGGTCCTTTCTCACCCTTTTTGAATCTAATCCAACCAGCAGCTCCCCACTCTTCCCCCCTTTTTGGTTGATAATTTTCCCTCTCGACACCCAAGCCAAATCTCAAATTTGGGACACTGATACAGCCACAGCCGAAGGTACTGAAAGTTTGGCGTCGATACGTCTAGCGGTTTATAAATTATTGCAGAAAAACGAGAGGGGGGGCTATGAATGAATAGCTCCCCCCCGGCCCCCCCCCCCCCCGTTGGGCGCGGGTTGATCTACGCCATAACATATGCCCGCTTGTGCGACGTCTGCCTTACCTTTACCTAATTTTGATGGCCACTTGGTATGTCTGTCTCAGCCAAGCTGCTTTATAAATTTTACTGGTCTGTATACGCCGTACGGTATTGAGTGCACGAAGTCCGACCAGTGGGTGCCTAGGCGATTCTTGAATTGGTTGAGTGTACTGGCGTCGACAACTTCTGATTGCAGGCTGTTCCAGTCGTTTATAATCCTTACGGAGAACGTAAAGCCGCGTGTGGTCTCTTGTGAGTCCGTCGCAATGCACGAGTTCCTCAACCGAAATCCATGTTCGTTGTCAGACAGGAGATGAGTATTGTCAAGTTGGAGAATTCTGTCACGTATGACGAATTCAAGAACTTTGCTTGTCGCAGCGGTGAGGCTAACTGGGCGGTAATCGCTCGGATCAGATTTGGCTCCCTTTGTGAAAAAGTGTCACCTTTAAGAATGATACAGATCCAAGGAGATTTAGGGTATGCCCTAAAACCCCAATAAACAAACAGCAAGGCTTCAACTTCCCGTGGCCATACCACCACCTATGGCTTAGTAGATAAGGCGTCCATCATCTCCTAAATGGGTGGCAGCGAGTTCGCGGCCAGGGAGCTCCGCGTTTTTATTTTGTTGGGTTAGGCCCTTCGGTCTGACGAGACCATTTCAGCGCCAGAAGGATGATAGGAAGGTCTGGGCGAGCGGCCTGGTGAGTCGCCGGGGCTGAGCCCGTCCAGAGGAGAGGCCGACCAGCCCCCAAGCACTCACCGCACCCGTCTACGGGCGTTCTCTTACGGGAAATACCCATGGGATAAAGTTGCCCGTCCAGCCCTAAACAGGAGTTTAAGGTGTAGAGGAGAAGGAGTTGAATTTCCTGAGGATGGAAATGACGGAACGGTCGGCGAGAGAGGGCCATGCTGATGTTCTATATACTCTGGCCACGCTAGACCCGGGAGGACCGTGCCGCCATCTACCTGCGGTACGTTGAACCTTCGACTCAAATTATCACCGATGAACCGGGCTCGGGTGAGGTCGGGTAGTGATCCGTGCAAGTCATTCGCAACAAGTACTGGCTAGCGGGGCACCCTGGCCCACAGCCACCCATCCAACCATTTGGACAAAATTTCTTTAAAAAGACTTTCAAGATAAAAGGAACATAGGGCGGTGACGTAGCAAAACCCTCGCACTTTTTTGACAAATGCCATGAAATGCCAGGGCTCTACAGGTGACTACAGTTTCTCCAGTGTTGTTTTATGTACATTCGATACTCGTCCAGTGATCGCTCCAGATACAGTTTAATTTTCACTTGGTGTCTCAATTCTTTTTCAGGGAGTCCGGTTTAAACAAATATGGATTTGATGCCATCTGAGGTCGCGCGCCTAGTGCTAGGTAAGATGCTTCTTACTTTTTAAGTTGTCTTGTAGTTGTTACTTTCAGATGTTCTGAAAGACATTGATAGAAACTTCATATTTGTAAGGTAAGTTTGTAAGGTGATTACGAGATCTCTGGAAGCAGAAGCTTGGGGAACTGTCTGGGAGTACATTGATTTAGTTCTTAGTGTCTCCTAGACATGTACCCGAGTCAGGTTTACTTGCCCTTATTCAGTCTCGACATAGAGGTGCATTGAAAACACATGACTTTATGTTGTTTGACTGGTGTACTCATACTGTGTGCGCTTTTAGAGTGGAAGATGACACCAGCTGGCTGCGATTGTGCTGTTGGGCAGGCTATCTGAAGGAGGCTGGCTGCGAGACTGCATGGCGGTCCTTTTTGAACGAGTCGGCCGACCTGGCGGAGGTGCGGAGCCTGCAGGCGCGCGGCCGAGCGGTGCCCTGCGGCGTGCAGGGCCTGTCACTGCTCCAGACACTGGAACAGTACTCAACAGCCCGTTCGCTCGGTATGTACCCGGATGACGCTCAGCCTTAACGAATCATTTCGTCCTTCATCATTAATATTTAATTTCACGATATTCTGAGGAGAAGAGACAGATGGCATTTCATTGAAATTTTAGCTGGTATTTCAGAAGAGGCAGTGCTGACTCTAGGTTATTCAGATGCCTATTTAGCATTGGCTGTGTTATCAGTCACACTGCGTTCGACGAAGTAGAATGCAGTTGGTGCGTTTTCTAGTAGTTTGTCCTTGCATTGTGGTCAAATTGTGCAAATGTCCCGTTGAAATGGATTTTTCACTTCAAATTCACATTTTGCTTCTCAGCCACATCACAGTTTTTTTTTCTTCGCGGACTTCAAAGGGTTTAGCTCGTAAAATATATCACATTGCTTATCTAGTGCAGCGCTCACCAATGTGCATTGTATCCCCCAGTGCAAGATGCCCGTTTGGGGAGTGGTGGTCCATCGGATCCGTCGCCGCCGCCCACCTCCTTCCTGGAGAAGCTGAGACATCTCATCGTGCTCGCATCGCTGGAGCGGCTCAAGGCGGTTCCCCAGGTTCGTACGGGGCTACATTTCCTGTAATTTATTCAACAGTTTGATGTTCACTGAACAAAAAATCATATTAATTATGTAAGAATATACCGTGTAATTGTTATTTGCATCTACAAACTCATACCTCACACCTCATGCGTGTTGTGAATCGTAAACCGTTATTTATCCTAGAAGTTGCACGCCTACTATAAGCTGCATGTCTACTATTTTGTTATTGACCGCTGAACTATTAATTCTTTTATTTGTGTTAATTCTACTCACATTTGTTTTAATCAATTTCTACGGGACTTACATGTTTCACATTGTGCATTATGCTAATTAATATCTTGTGCTGCTCCTTCGTCTCCACCTGGCACAAAATGACCTTTGCTGTCGGCGCGCCCAAAGACCCCAATAAATAAACAAACAAACAAACAAACAAACAAACCCTTCGCCCGTACCCGCTTGTTTTCTTTGTCTGCCAAGTTGCTTTGAAGTATCTTGCCCAGTGCCCAGTGCGTCAACAGCTGAACCACCTACTCCTCCCCCTGGGCACGCACTGATACGGGTATCGCCAAGTGACGTCCGCCGACCTCGCTCCGTCCGCAGGACCCTCCACCGCCGAACCGCAAACGGACGATCAGCCTGCGCTCGACGCGGCGCCAGAAGCAGCAGGAGCGGCTGCAGGACATCTCCCACCTGGCGCCGGGACCGACGGCGCCCATCGGTGAGAGCCGCACTCAGGGGGGTGCAGGAGACGTACGAAAGGGGGGGGGCAGGGGACTGCCGAGCGGGGCAGAGACTGACGAGACGGGAGTGCACGGGGACAGACGGGGTCGGACGTGAGGACACTGCTTAGTTCAGGGGCCCTGGGTCGCCCACACAAATATTGGAGTCCCCTAGGCCAGGGGATCCCATTTGAGCGGACGACATGCGGGGCGACATGCATACAAAAACATGCGGGGACGTAATAACACACGAGGAGACACGGGACGCAATTCAGTAATGTTTTGTAGGATTTAAAGGGTACTGCCTTTTCATTGATGCTATGTCGCTTTCATTGTTGCGATCGTTTCATCCTCGTTGATATAATTTCATATTGATTTTGATACCACTTTCATAGTTATCATTTGCCTTGCATTGCACTTACTTATCGCTACACATTCGACGCAGTGTCAACACGATTCGGCGCTTGTAGTTGTTGTGTCGGTGTCCGTTTTGGAGTGGCCGGGTCCCCAGGCGTATGGCCGCGGCGCTGCAGAGCTGACCGGGTCCGTCCGGTGTGCCGCCAGTGACGCCCGGCGGCCCGCTCATCTCGCTCGGGCCCGAGGAGATGATGATGGGTTTTCCGCGCGTGCGCGACGTGCACCAGCCAGCCGACGACGACCTGGGCGCGCACGACGAGGCGGCGGACGATGTACCGCCGCCGGAGTCGGGCCACCCGGAGCCGGAGCCGGGGTGCGGCGCCAGTCCCGACCGGCGCTGGCGGAGGAAGGGACAGCCGCGCCGGCCGCCGCCGCCTCCGCCACCGGCCGCCGCCAAAGGCAGAGCGTGAGTTGGCGAGGGAGGGGAGAGCGAACGGCGGTCCAGGGCGGCGATAATGTGCGCGCTGGTTTGTACAGTGGATCTAGTAAGGATCTCCAGACGCAACTAGATGGCGTTGAGCCTCAGTCGAGTCCATGTGAGATTCAAGGAGAGGTCACTATCGAGCTGGGCCCGATGGGGAGATGGAGGGGGGGGGGGGGGGTGGCGAGGTCACGGTGCGGGTGACCTGTCAAACAGCCCCGGCGCGGTGGGGCACTGCCGCAGGCAAATGGCGCACTCCAGCGTTGTTCCATATCGCAGTGGTGGGCCGGGGCTGGGCGGCCGGTTAGCTTGGCAGTTGGCTGCTTGGAAGGAAAGGATAATGAGGCATGGGTTTGCTGTGGCCGGCTCATCTACTGTCAACCATGGTGAACCCAAAGTAATGCAAATGTGATGTTGGTAATGCAGCTGGCTATGGAATGCTAGCGAATGCTCCGGGCGCCCAGTGGCTATAAGGATAAAGAATATTTATGTCTCCTGAAATTTTCATTGAATATAAATCAAACGAAAGATTGTATCGCTCGCCAGTTTTTTAACCGGCTGGCGTATCATGCGTAGAGCGCCCTTTGGCAAATAATTATCACGCAGGTGATTTTTTTTTTGCTGGTAAGATGGGCCTTTAAGGTCAAATCAAGTCGCTAAGAGAAGATGAGGAAAAGTGGACAAATGCCAACACCGGTCCAACCGGGTTCAACCCAGCCCAACCTGGTTCGGCTCCCCCTTTTTAATATAAACTTTGACCCGAACCCTTTGAAAGAAAGGAATCACAAGGACAAAGTCCCCGCTAAGCTGAACTTGTTGCGTTGACCCTGCTCTCTACCCTCCGATCAAGCAATTCCTGCTCCTTGGCAGAATTTAGAGTCCAAAGTTTAGCGTGCGCACATAGCCGCGCACGGCCGGTCCCCTCACTGACTTCGCCTGGCAGCGGCCTGCCACCAACCATAATCATACCCGTCAGGAGCCGCTCAAAAACGTCAAGCACACGTCGCGTTTCGAACCCGGACTTTTGCAACCGGGACGTGCGCTCTCACCACATGGCACATGGAGCCCAACGCTCTAGCGACCGAGCTACCGGGACGGACATTTACCTTGGAGTTTCGCCTCGTGACATTGACAGACGTCAGACACTTTGGCCGAACTTTAGCCGAAATACTGAGCAAGCTGCGTAGGGCGATAGGTGCTCGTAGCGTTGAGGTTGGGTAACCTGTGAGCTGAACGCGATGTCGTGAGTTCGAGCCCCACTCCCGTGTCTGGTTTTATCTAGACACGAACCAAAACCTTTCCTTCTACTGCAACACAGATAAGCACGATGACATCTTTCCCCAATATCTTTCCCAATATCCTCTCCAAAAGTCAAAATTGTCACTTATAAATGCTTAGCTAAGTTTCATCCTTTAAGAAAATGTTTTTGGTCATTTGTCTGGACTCTGGAGCCATTACAACCCTTTTTTCTTTTCTGCTTCTTTCCGACCCGATAAAACCGACCAAAACTGAACGTGCCAAACGACAAATATCGAACTCAAATAACAGTTTAGAAAAGCCTCATCATGCATCATGAAAAGCATCATGCAACAATCGACTGAATAGTTGCATGCTATGAATACGTCCTAGATTTCAATTACCTATCATTGTTCAACATTTTGGCTGGAACTGACGCTGCCTCTGGCTTGCCCGTTTGTTTGAGATAATGATTCCCTTCAGTCGCATTCTTGCCGGTTCCACATGAACAGGATACCACTATACCGGAGTGAACGCACCCGTAACCATCATCCCCTCCCCTCAGCCTCGGCGCAGTGGCGGGCGGCCCTGGGCGGCCCACTCCCGGCGCTACGCACGCCCCATGCGCCGTGATACCGCGTCACTCCCCCTCCCTCCCTCCTTCCCCCACAATGACCGGTGACCTCACTTCCCTCGGGATTTGGACTCGCCCTACCCCGACCGTAGCGCCACGTGGTGGCTCTGGAGATCTTAAATAGACCCACTGTACGTCCACAACGTCCATTGTTCATTGTTCACCGTGGCCGGGCTCATTGTTGACGTCCCCCGCACGTTCCTCGGGTATTCGAACTGCGTTAGAGTATTTTAAAATATTCTGGTAAAATCTGACTGTTTAGGCACTACTTTTTTGGCCAGCTGCATGAGGGGCGGAGGGCCGGGGGGGGCGCTCTTTTAAGTCAACAGAATCTGTTTAAAATTTCAGTATGTCCTTGCTTTACCATTCATTTCAGATATGCTTATCAATCTTCCTTGTTTTGGCAAATATGTCATTTATTGAAATAAATGACATATTTGTCATTTATCGCTCCCAAAGCTCATCAGTATGTTGCTTGCCTTTTCAGATGTGACGATGTCGCTGTCGCTGAAGCAGATGCGCATTTGCAGGTCAGTTGTTTGTCATACAGAACACTGACAAGAGGCCTGTTCTTCCTTTTAGCCTAGTCAGTGATTAGTATGGTCAGATTGTTATCGCAATTCGTTATAAATCCTGATCAGGATAACAAGTTTTTGGTAACAGCCAGGCCATACCATGTTGACGGCCGCTAAACTACCGCATCATAACACTTTTCTCGCATAGGAACTGCATGTAAAAGCATGCCAGCATCCTTCACTAAGTAGCTATGGTGTACGATCTTTTCTGTCCCTTCCTTGGCGTCAGAGTGTTGTGTGGCCGTTTCAGTCTTTTCTCGACGAAATGCTCTCCAACGAGGACCTGCAGACGCGGATAGCGGACAACATCAACCGCGCCGTGTCGTCGGCACAGAAGGAGCCCAATCTGGACGAGGCCATCAGGAAGATGGTCGACCAGACGACGGCCGACCCCTCCTTCTGCCAGGCACTCAGAGGTGAGCGGCACGCTTCTGTTCTGGCTCTGCTGTTGTGAATATCAACCAGGTCATGGTTCTTAGTAGGCGTACTCGTGCTTAATATGTTACTGGTATTGATCAGGTGTATCGGTGACGGGCGCTGCCCCTGGCGGTAGCTCGTTGCAGCTGTTGTTATTCTGTGTCGCGCCGCGCCCGCTGACCGCGCTCTGTCCTGTCGCCAGGGTCCGGCGATGGAGCGGCGCTGCCTGCCGAGGAGGCGCCGACCTGCCCGCCACCGCGGCGCGTTCACTTTGCTGACGACCTGTCCGGTCCGTCTGCCTCCGGCGACGCGCCGTCGATCGTGTTCGACACGGGTCTGACGGCGAACGTGGCCCAGGTGAGCGACACGGAGGTGCACCTGCTCGGCGTCAAGGTCAGCTCGCCCACCTCGCAGCGGTCGGTGCCGGGCGTGCCGCGTCTCGGACCGGGTGTCGTGCTGCCGGCGAATGTGGCCGACGGCCTGAGCTGGTGCACAAAGCCGCCGGCCGCTGCCCCACGCCCGTGGCGTTTCTCTCCGCCGTCGGAGCCGGCGCCGCCGCCAGTGCAGAAGCCGCCGCCGGAGCGAGCGTCGGAGCCGGCACCGGAGGAGCCCTCCACCGAGTCGGAGCCGGTGTCGGTGTCGTTGTCTGGGGAGGAGCCGGACACGGAGCCGGACCCCGACTTGATGTCGGATTCGGGCTCGGAGTCTGGGGCGGAGAAGGCAGAGAAGGTGGCAGAGCCCGCGAAACCGGCGACCGGGCGGCCGAAGCGTTCTGCGAAAGGAGCTGGTGAGCCGGCGAAGAGCGAAGGAGCTGGCGATCGAGCAAAGGCTGACGCCAGCGCTCCAGCTAAGGACGGCGGCGCTGATGATCCATCGAAGAGCGGCGGCGCTGCTGACTCAGCGAAGGGTGGTGGCGCTGGCGATTCGGCGAAGGGCGCTGCCGCCGACTCGGCGCCGCGCTCCAGCTTGCTGGTGCAGCAGCAGGGCAGCACGTGTCCGCCGCCGTCCACGCGGCCCAGCTTTGGGTTCATGGTTGGCGAGGTGGGCGGCGTGCCGCTGCACGCCTACACCATGTTCGGCAAGCCGATGAGCAGGTCGCACTACGCCGCCATGCGGAAAGAATCGGTCAAGCGCTCCGATGAGCAGAAGCGTCTTGCCGAAGAGTTGAAAAAGGCGGAAGAGTTGAAAAAGGCGGAAGGTGAGTCTCAAATATGAAATATCCCTTGTCATGTTTCACAAATGTATCGCTTTTTCGTCAAACGCCGGCGGCTGAGACGCTTCAAGTACTCATATCGTAGCTTTTTTGTTGTCGTTGCTGAAAGATAACATGCTCCTAAGTCTCAAAATATACGCGAATATTTAACTTAAACTCTCGCCTCTCAGCATTATTGTTTAGTTAAGTAAATAAATCTGTGCATTTTGCATTAAACACGCCGCTTTGTTTTTACCCCACAGAATCAAAAGGAGCGAGCGGTGGTGATCCGGAGGATGGTGGACCGGCGTCAGACAAGAGTCCCGCTACTGCGCCAGCTGGCTCGCCAGCAGCTAACAAGAGCCCAGCCGAGGCACCGGCCAAGTCGCCAGCTTCTAGCAAAAGCCCCACCGCGAGCAAAAGCCCCACTGGGAGCAAGAGCCCCACTGCGAGCAAAAGCCCCACTGCGAGCAAAAGTCCTACCGCTGCGTCATCCGCGTCGCCCGCGTCGAGCAAGAGTCCCGCCGCTGCCCCGGCCACGCCGCCAGCGTCGGCTGGCCATATGCCCAGCATGCCGCTGACGGGCACTCCGTCGCCGGCGCCCAGCGAGCCTGTGCTGCCCGACCTGACTCCGAGCCCAATGCCGAGCGAGCCGGCGCCAGCGGACACCCCCTCGCCGCCGTCCTCCCCGGGCCCGGCGAACGACGACGCGCCGTCTCCCGGCCAGTCGTCAGACGCCGCTTCCCCTCCCATTGCGGGAGCGCCTGCTCTGCCGGCCACCGAGTCTCCGCCGGCGGCGGCTGATGACGCGGCTCCCAGCGGGACGGCGGCGGCGGCGCCTCCCTCCGATCCGGCGCCCGGCTCGCCGTCTCCGGGACCGTCCCAGCAGCGTCCGGTCATCAGTCCGCGGCTCGCCAGCCTGCTCAAGATCGTGGCCTCCTCGTCGGCGGAGCGTGCCTCGGTGGCGGCCCCCTCGACGCAGCCGCGCGGCCGGCCGAGCCCGACGCGCGCCGGCCGCCGGCAGAGCGCCAGCACGCCGCGCCGGCGCAGCCATGTGCGCGCGCTCGACTTCAGCACACCGCCGCGGCAGCAGCGACTTGACCTGCGTCACCTGAAGGCCATCCGTCGCCGGCTGAAGGGATCGCCAGACCTGCCCACCTTGGCAGAGACCTCTGGCAGCGCGACGCCGCCTGCCGCTCCGACACCGGCACCGGCGGAGTCGGAGTCAGCGCCCGCTCCCCCGCCACCGAGCCCGCGGCGCCGCAGCGGCGGACCGCGCCGCCTGGCGCCCACTCGACTCTCAGACCGCGTGAGCTCAGCGTCGGCCTTCGAGCTGGAGCTGGTTACGCCGGACAAGGCGGGCGGCGGTGTGCGCGTGGAAGACTGGCCCCCGATACAGACACCGACCGTGCGCCGGCGGCCCTCTGAGAGCTCGCCGAGCGGACAGCCGCGGCCCGCGGCGGGCGCACCAGCGCCGCCGGCCGCTGAAGGGTCCCCCGCCTCTCCCCGCACGGCGTCACCGGGCACGCCGCGCACCCCACGCACGCCACGCACGCCGCCCTCGCTGGGCCAGCCGCGGCCGGTGGGGCCGACGCGGCGCCAGCTCGGTGAGGAGATTGAGCGGCAGCTGGAGGCGCGCTTCCCGGCCATTTCGCCGGCCAGAGCAGGCCCCGAGCCACCGCCGACCGCCTCACCGGCGCCGCCGCCCGCGCCAGACGAGCCGGAGCCGACCGCGCCAGACGAGCTGGAGCCGACCGCGCCAGACGAACCGGAGCCGACCGCGCCAGACGAGCTGGAGCCGACCGCGCCAGAGTCGCCCGAAGCACCGCCGAGCGAACCGGCGCCGGCCTCTCCCCCGATCTTCGCTCGTTCCCCGCCCTCCGCAGGCAAGGCTGCGGCAGCGGCGTCTGTTCTTGCCAAAAAGAAACGCTGGATACCCTCCATCGCGGCCTCATCGCCTGCGGAGCGTCGGATAACGCGAGCTGCCGTGCGACGCATGGAGCGCCAGAAAGCCTTGAAGAGGGCAGAAGCCATAAAGAACGCCGGGAAAAGCCCCAAGCGAACTGCGGCACCTACAAAAAATACGCAACAGTCTAAAAGTCCAGTAAAAACGGAAGAAAATATCGATAAGGCTTGTGAAGATCCGGCTGATGCGAAATCTGCATCACCAGCTAAACCAGCCTCGCCAGCAAAATCCTCATCACCAACGAAACCGCCATCACGTGAAAAACCATCTTCACCGATTAAACCATCGTCACCAGTGAAGCCAGCACCTTCGGGATCCGCGCCGTCCACCCAGGCACCTGAACTAGCAACGCCGACGACTAGTGGCACTAGTGTCAAGCAAGTCCCGCACTTGCTGTTAATGCATCATGGAGGGGGCGACCCCAAGGCGCCTGGATCCGCGCCTCGAATGTTCTGGGTTCCTGTGGTCACTATCTCTGGCTCCTCTGTCAGCTCGGCCGCCGTGACGGCTACATCGGGGGCTGCCGCTGCGGCCTGCGTGCCTACTGCGCCCCCCTCGACGGCCGCCACCACCATGGTCGCCGCGCCGGCGGGGGCGGCCACTGTCACAGGCGTCTCCGGGTCTGCCGGTGGACGGTGGGCCTCTCCAGCCGTCTTACAAAGATCAGTGTCCGATGTCTCTAGCCAGCAGGTACTGCCTGCAGCCTTACAGAGCGCCGCGAACGGACGGAAGTCTCCCCGGAAGAGCCCGCCGCGAAAGCGTGTCGCCCGCGAGGGGGACGTTGCGGTCACCCAGACGCCGATCCTGCAGCACACCGCCGGGAACCCGGACCAGAAGTCAGCGACGCTCCTAGGTTCGGCGCCATCTGCCACTCCGTCACAACCGGGCACAGTTGCTCCTCCGTTGGATCCGAGCGGTGCCCAGGGACTGGCGGGTCAGAACCTATCCCGTAGCTCGCTCAGCGGTAGCGCAGCGTCGGACAGTTCTAGCAGCTCCTCTTCGGACGGCTCGGACTCGTCTAACTCGATCTCCTCTTCGTCATCGTCATCGTCTTCCGGCTCCTCGAGTTCGTCGGAGGATTCCTCGGACTCACCGGACGACACATATGTCCCTCCCCTGCGTGCGAACAGCTACCCGGGCGCGGAGGGCGGCCAGCCAACCGAGGTGTCGCGCTCGCCAAAGAAGCGATCACCAGCGAAGAGGCTAGCATCAGCCGCTAGACGGTCACCGCTGAAGGGTGAAACGCCGGCAAAGAAAAAGTCACCGGCCAAGTCTCGAACCCCCGCAAAGCAGCAGTCTCTTGTGAAGCAGACAAAATTAGCGAGGCGAAGGACGCCGTTGAAGCGTCAGCCACCGGCGAAAAAGGGGTCACCTGCGGCGAAGCCTGACTCTAAGCGACGCCGAGAAACTCGGCCGCTGCCCTCTAGCTCAGACGAATCTGAGGATGAAGTAGAAGACACTCTGGAGTCGGTGGCTAGGGAGATGGGTTTGAGCTGGGGACTGGAGAGCGTCCCTTACGAGTCTTCGACTGATGAGGACCCAATCGAGGAGCGGCCCATCATACCTGCCGATTCGCCGGCAGTGACGGTCAGTTCTGCCGTCAGCGTGGTCACCACTGCACCCTCGGTCAGTGCCGCCCCAGTGGACGGGACGGCGGTGTCTGTGACCGCCCCCTCCGCAGTCCCTGCGGACTGTGAAGTCGGCGTCACAGAGACACTGGTGGACAGTGACGGCGAGGTGGTGGTGGACGTGCACGTGGACCCGTCGGTGTCGTCGGGCAGTGACGCGCCCGCCGCCGAGCCGACTGCTGCCGCGGACAGCGGCGGCGACTCCGACTCTGAGCTGGACGTCGGCACCGAGCCCGTCGTCGACACGACCATGGTCGCCGTGCGTCCCGACAGTAGTAGCAGTGGGAGCTCCTTGGACGAGACGGTGGTCGTCGACTCTCCCAACCCGCCTGCGTCCGTCTCCAACCCCGGCGTCGACCCAGCGGAGCCGGCCCGCCCGACGCAGGCCGAGATGCTCCGCAAGGCCGGCCTTCCGCCCGCCAGTGAGGACAGCAGCGACGCGGGCGCCGTGTCGGCGGCCGTCGCCGCTGCCGCCTCGCCGCTGGCCTCCAGCGTGACGACCGCCTCGCCGGGCCTGGGTCGTCTGGTGATCGAGACGGACGACACGGACGGAGCCGCTACACCGCTGGATGGCGGGCGGTCCGAGCGGGCAGCGTGCTCACCGGAGGCGGCGCCGGAGGCCGCTGGGCCCGACCACCTGGAGATGCTGCCGGAGGACTCCCTGATGGCCGCGCTGCGGGATGTCCACAGTCAGGACGAGCCGGACACACAGCCGACAGGTGGGTCAATGCTGGAGGCGAGCGAGCGAGTCCTGCATGTTCCGATTGTGTAATGGTACTGTTTCATCTGTAGTCGTTGGGTGGGTTTTAGATGCGGGCGGTTGGTACTCTTTGATTCTTTTTAGGGACAAAGTCATACGTTTTGCCTTGGTAGCTTATCATTTTAGGCTACCTGATCTCTCCGTTAACCTTGAAAGCTAAGAAACTTGTGACCTTGAAGGAGAGATATCTTTGCTAGAATTGCTAGATTATTCGATGTGATCTAATCCGCCAAATTTTACGCCGTTCTTACCCGCTATTCTGTTAGGCGTTATAGGGCATTAACGGTCACCTCTCCCCGACAGACTTTCCTCGGGCAGGCCTTGGCCGGGGTCAACCCAAGCGAAGCATGGCCGGTGCTCGAGACAGGAAGTCGTCAGTCTCCGCCGCTGCAGAAATAGATGATTCGCCGGTGCTGGGAAGGAGCGGCAAAACCAGACCGCAGAGCCCTGGTCGACGGGGACAATTGGACCGAAATCGGTCGGACTCGGGCCGTGCCAGCTCAAAGTCGGACCGTGATGCCGCAAAACCAGGCCGAGATGGCTCAAAATCAAGTCGTGATGACCCTAAGTCTGGTCGTGATGGGTCTAAGTCGGGCCGCGCTGCTTCAAAGTCGGATCGTCCCGCTTCAGAGTCGGACCGTGGTCGGTCAAAGTCGAGCCGTGATAAATCAAATTCTGATCGCGCCGGCTCAAAGTCTGACCGTCCTAGCTCAGAATCGGACCGTGATCGGTCGAAATCGGACCGTGATCAGTCGAAGTCGGATCGTCCTGCCTCAAAGTCTGACCGCCCTGGCTCAGAATCGGACCGTGATCGGTCGAAATCGGACCGTGATCAGTCGAAGTCGGATCGTGCTGTGTCAAAGTCTGACCGTCCTGGCTCAGAATCGGACCGTGATCGGTCGAAATCGGACCGTGATCAGTCGAAGTCGGATCGTGCTGTGTCAAAGTCTGACCGTCCTGGCTCAGAATCGGACCGTGATCGGTCGAAGTCGGACCGTGGTGGCTCAAAGTCAGACCGTGATCGCTCGAAATCAGACTGTGATCAAAAGAAGTCAGACCGTGATGGTGCAAGGTCGGGCAGTGATGGAAAACCTAAGTCTGTGGCGAGTACCGTGATGTCCGATGCAGATAGAAAACGGAAAGCGCCGCTCCGCACCGAAGACCGTGAGAAAGGTAGTGACAGAAAACCCAGTGGGAACAGGAGCCGTGACAGTGATGTGAAGAGTGAAAGTAAAGAAGAAGGAAGAAAGAAGCAAGGCAATAGACTTGATGACGACCAAAAAGGGAAGATAGATGTCGGTAGTACAGGGAAGAACAACCACGGAAATGATGGCGAAGCTGGCCGAAGTAGACCTAACGGGCGGGATGGTGACCGAACCACTATCTCCAGAAGTGACCAGGGCAGAGCTGGTGGCGGTGACATGACGAACGGCAGAGAAACGGGGAAGGTTGACACCGACCACCAGAGACGGCCTGACCCGCCGACCAGCCATACGGGGTCTATCCCTCAGGCAAGTGCCGCCCGACCGCCAGCGGTTGAGGCTCCGGCGACCCAGACGGCCGCTCCCTCCGCTGGGCGCCCCTCGGTCCGCGCCCAGCCGCCTCCTCCGGCGGCTCCGGAGCCGGAGGAGTCGGAGGAAGACACTGAGGAGGAGGACGACCCGATGAGCCGGCTGACCATCTCGCCGTACTATGTGCTGGTGGACCTGCCTCCGCCGGGCGGCTGGGGCGACGACGTGGACGCCGGCGAGTTCCTGGCCCAGCTGGAGCGGCGCCGATCGGCCGGCCGGCGCTCCGCGGACGGCGAGAGGCAGCAGCCGCTCTCCTTCAAAGGAGTGCTGCAAAAGACGGCTGTAAGGTAAGGGAGCGGCCTGATTTACTACCTACCTGACGTCCAAATTAGTGGCAGCTTCGTACCTTAGTGTCAGTTTGAGCTTGCTAGCAGCTTTAAAGTTCGTGTGTTGAGCTTCAATTCTGTCCAATTTATGTAAGTTAACAAAGTAACTGTGTATATGCAGTAAGTTGTAGCGGCAAACTTCATTGCGCATCTTTTCGGTAAAACACTAAATTGCTTTGCATCGACAAGTTATATGTGTCAGCGGGACCTTTAATGGAGAGAGGTGTGTGCTGCGAACATTTTGCCGATCTACAAGTGTGCGTATGTGATACTGTCCCCACCTGGTATTTGCTTTGACCCATTGGTTCCGTGTCTTCTATCTGTTTCCACAGTACGTCTTCTGACCTGATGGACAACGCCTTGGGTGTGGGCAACCCCAGTCCAGCGAGAGTCCGCGGCGGGCCGCCCCCGGCCGCTCCTGTCCCCGGCGACAAGAGTCTGACGTCAGTCAAACGCAGTCTCAGCACGCAGCTGGACGGGACGCCGTCCTCAGCCGCGGCGCCGGCCGGCGCGCCGCCGACATCCTCCGCAGGGGTGTCGACAGTGCACCGCTGGGTGCGCCGCGACTCTGGCGGCGCCGGCGACGGGCCCGATCGCAGGAAAAGCTTCGAGCTGGACCGGCCCAGGACGCAGTCGACCGGGGAGGGACGTACGGAGGGTGACGGCAGCGGCGAGAGACCAGCGCCGTCCAGAAGCGATGGGAGGAGAGACGACAGTCGCACCGACAAGGCGCCGGGCCAGGCAGGCAAAAGTCGCCGCCCCGTACCGACAGAAGATGTGGGAAATCACCAGACAGCGCTGGTGGAGGGATGGAGTAAGCAGAAGCAGAACCCCGACCGTACTCGGGAGTCCTCGACTGAGGAAGGGGAGCTGGACAGCGGCCGTGGGGGACCGCCTTCTTCCGCCAGAGAGCGAGGGAGACCTGACTCGGGCGGCGACCGGCCCGGACGGAGACACAGTGGCGGTGGCCGCCGGAACAGCAGGAGTGACACGTCGCCCGAGCGGTCGGGCAGACCCGCTGACGGACCTGGTAGGCCACGCCGGCCGCCGGGCGACGGCGCGCGGCGTGGAGACTGGGCTGGCGGTGACGGTCCCCACGTCAGAGCTACTGACCGGAGGCGGCGACACAGCAGTGGCAGCGGCAGTCAGGGTCACAGGAGCGTGGACAGTGGCAGTGAGCTGAGCGATAACAGGACGGGGCGGTACCGCCGGGACGGAGCGCGGACAATGGACGCTCACCGGAGGGGACGGGACGGGGAGGAGGCCGACAGGCGGCGAGGTCCGCCCGCCAGTGCCGACAGGGGAGGCTCGAGTGTGTTCTCTCGGTTGGGTAACAAGAGGCAGGGCGGCAGGGATTTCGAGCGGACCAACGGCCGGGGTGAGTTTGACGAGCGTTCCACCCGCGGGCCGGCTGATCACAGGGCGGCGAACGGCGCCGGTCGGAGCGACGCAAAGCGTCGAAAGGACCGGGCTGCACAGGGCGACGGTGACTCTGGTGACGCCTTTAGAGACGACCGGTGGCACTGGAGCAGAAACCCGCGTGATCAGAGGACGGGTGGCACTCCTGACGACGGCGAGCCGGACCGCGGCGGGCGTAAAGGTCAGCGCTCGGACGAAGATCGTGAGAGACCGAGGAAGACCAGCCGTGCTGACGAGTCGGCCGTGTCGTCCCACAGCCGGAGGGAGAAGGGTGCCAAGGAGAACCGTGAGAAGAGCGGAGGGCAGCGCGGGGAGCCGGACGAGGGCAGTCGCGCCGGCCGTCCTCGACAGAGTGCGCCAGAGGGAGGCGCCAGGGACTCGGCGGCGTCTCGGGGGAAGAGGGTTCGCCACGACTCCGGATCTTCGGACCAGGTGAGCCCGACGCCGCGTTGGCCGTAAAGGTCACTAGATAGTGTGTAGCAGCCACGGATGTTATGGTGTGTGTGTGGGGGGGGGGAGGGGGATTACCTGAATATGTGGCCATCGAATGATAGATCGTTATTGGTCTGGCCGATTTTGCACTTGTGTCTGACGAATTATTCACAGCACTCCAGAACCGAATCGGTAATGTGTTCGTTTTGTTCTCAGTCTCCTTTGAATTCACTTGGCCTATTTGTTGTGTCGTCTTTGCTGTTCATAACCCGTTGCATTTTTTTCAGGAGTCCAATGATTCCAAGCGCAAGCGCGCTTCGTCCGGAATTGATGCCAGGAAACTGCTGGGAAACTGCAACATCGCATCATTCCTGGATAAGATACATCATTAGAGTGTCAGTTTACTGGCGGGGAGAGGCCACTTTCTGGTAGAATTCCGTAGTAGCTTTCTTCGAGAAGGACCAACGCACCCAGTGTTCACTCACATCCAGTGGTTTTAACCGTGCGCAGTCAAATAGTGTGGGGCATATCAGTGTGCGATTGTAAACATAGAAACAGTGTCCTGGGCATAGCTGTCGCCTCGTACAAACGTGAAGTGTTATCGTTGAAATGAAGTGTACAGCGTCATCCTGTTTTATATGTCATCGCTCTCAGCTCATTGCTTCCTCGTCGGGGCGATCACGCGGTTATGTCCCGTCTTCAGTGCCTTCTCGACTTCGACGATGCTACATGTACCGAGTTTGTGAGCTAGTGCCACTGTCTCCAATTGTATGTTCGTCTGCCGTCAGTCATTAGTGCGATGGGTGTGTTGCTACCAGATCTCGCTTGTCTAATACAAGTTTATGCATCTCTTTATGTGGCTTTCCGGTCGACCAGGCCTGCTACGTGCCATGCTGCTACGTGTTGGTGTATCGATCTTGGGATTAATGCACCCCATGGCTCGTAATGACACGAGCAAAATATCGGCAGGATAGACCCATCCGTTGGAGACACGAGACAACGTCGGGAGGCGTTAGGCGCCATGATGTGCCGGTGCGGCCACTAATCCCGGGGACAGGAGACTGGCACGAAGCAGCGCAAGCGGGTCACTCCACTGTACGGGAGCATGAAACGGTTGGAAGGACCGTAATGTGCGCATTCTGAGGATGGCCATGGAAAGGGATCGGACCGTCAGGTTATCCGAGCCAGATATAAAAAGTCACTTGGATGGTGCATGTAATGGGCATTTATTTAGGCGCTTTTATTGACGTTGTTTAGGGGCGAAGAGCGGGACGGAGTAGATGAAGTCCTTGGAAACTGGTAGATATTAGCCGGTAGATAGCTAGCCGAGCGTTTACTAATGTAATCAGCTGATCGGTAGTATCTAGCTGAAGCGGTGTCGATTCTACCGTGAACGGTACGATCTGTGGCGTTAATGGCGCAGACGTCGCCTTTGTCGCATAATGCATTTTTCTTGCGGTCTTTGCACACTTGGATGGTGACGTTGCGGTTGCTGGGTGAAGTGCGGGGTGGAATAATTAATTGTTTTTCCCCCAAATGACACTGAGAGACTCTACAGCTGATTGCCTTGAAGTCTAGTGGAAATTAGCGAGAAGTTTCAACTTTTTTACTGCTTGCTTTATACATGTAAGCGGCTGGATAATTTCAAGAATTTCTGAGCGCAAGTCACCAAACAACTAAGGTGAGTGGGTAGGTACTTTTTAGTGGGGATATTGCAGTTTTATCTTATTTTATTTTGCTAGATTGAAGAGCTAACAAAAAAAATAAGGCTGCTCTGACCACAAGGGTTCACTGGCATCTCGGCATATGATGACATGAATCGCAATGTGTGCAGTGCATTTGTGTGGTTGTTGGGTGTACTGTGCAATGGGCTGCAATTATGTGTTAAATGTTTTGTGCTGTTCTTTATTTTGTTTGACTTAATCCAAACCCATCCAATTGTAATGGCTAGGTATGGTGGAATAAGAAAGTTTGGCAGATGTCAGAAAGTTAAAAATAAGTTCTTTGTTTTAATATTTTATGCATAATATTAAGTTTTTAAGGAAGTTGCTTTACCATACCTTGACTTGCTGTTTTGATAAATAAGTTAAATGCAAATTATATTTGAATTTTTATTACATTTGAAAATTGACATTGAAAGTTACTGCCTTTCCAGTCCCCTCCAGTCCCACGTAAAAATCCTGAACATGGTTTGTCCCAATGATGTGCCTATAAATTACAAGTAGGCCTTCAGGTGCTGCTTGGACCTTCTTGACTGAATGGATAAAAAGTGGACTGAGTCAGATTTCCAATCAATAGCAGAATGTTAAGTTACTACTTGGCTTCTATGTAATTCTAAGATGTGCTGAGTGTGAATTTTGGAACAGTGTTTGTCACTTATTTGCTGTCCTGTTAAAAGACATTTTGATAATTGTATTGGGCTAAAGATGGTTGTGCACAATGGGTAAGAAAGGTATAATGTTCTTTATTCACAAAATAATGACTGGCTAATTCTTTTGCTTCATGAATCATATCCTTCTTTAATTTTACTAGATTGGGATTTCTTCTGATCAACTTTATAGTGTTGGTTGCATTTGTGTATCATATGGTGCATTGGAGTTTGTGTAGCTTAAAATGTTGCTACAAAGGTAGCCCTGATGAAAGATTTTTGATAGAATTCCTGCTCGCTCACCACTGTAGATCACAATAAACTCCCCTTGCCCCCTTATGGAGACATTTATTTCTCATGATTCAATTAAGCATTTAGTGTTTGTATAACTTTTAGGTCGCAGCTCTGGTTTTTTTCTATCTCTTAACAACTTTCAAATGAATTCTTTCTATTTGCAATGCTAGACAATGTACAGTGTGCATCTTAGTTTGACATCAGATACTCATTCAAAGCAACTAGATCATTGGAGTCCAAGTTGAGATTTTATGGTATATGTAAATAGATCAATAACCCCTCTACTAACATATTTTTAAGTATTTTTAGAAGTGACACTGCATTTTTTATTTTTGCTCTGATAGCTTTGTAATTGCCTTGCCAATCCATCCTATTCCTATACATGAAATCAACCCTGAATCACAAGTGCATGCATAAGGGGGCAGGGGCTCTCTATTCATTGTTTCTATTCCACTTCTTGTGACATGCTTGGCTGCTCAGCTTATATATTGTGCATGTATTTTGAAGGAAAATGTGACATGTGTAATTGAACGTTCACCTACTGTACATCTGATTGTGTTTCAGACTACTGAAAATGTCCTCTTAACATTTAGTTATGTAGGTATGACAAGACTCATATCAAACAGGTAGCTAGGTAGTAGGTACACACCTTGGGTGGAGGTCATATATGTATACAGTTGTGTTAGAAGAGTGACACATGATATTTGCTCAGTTCTGTAACTGCAGGACTTGTTAAGGGTCAGTAAGCCCAATGCTAGAAACTAAATGCTCAGGATTATATCCGATGTCGGTTCGGCTCGGGTTGCCGCCGCCCCGCCCTGCCCCACCCCGCTCCGAGCTAGCCGAGTCGAAAGTCGTGTCATTGATCAGTGTGATGCAGTCCAATCCCTCCCCTGCCTACTCCCTCCCCTCCCGAGACACCCTCACCCCCACCCCTCCCCACTCAGGCGTGACTCACAGTCGCTCCATAAACGCTCCACTGCCCGGCGGACCGGGCGGCAGCCGCTCACAATTTGCACACTTATGAGTGGACGTTCTGACACAGATAATGCAAACTATGTGCACATGTGATGGCCAAAGCTCCACTGGAAGGGAATGGGCGGTTTGCTACCGTTGGTGGGCAAATTGTGAGCTATGTTCGGGCTTGATTGCCATTATCGCCGTTGTACGGTGAATATACATAGGCTGTAGTAGTTGGTTCTTTGTTTCCTCCCAAAAGTTGTAATATCGTTGTATGAAGCGGAAGCTGATGATTTTCATGTAAACAGAAACGATTGTATGCGGTGTCATGTTGTTAGACTCATTGCATGCCGTCTCCACGTGTGCCGTGATATGCCATGCCATGTACCTCACGTTCGACATCCGATAACCTCCGGCCGGCGCTCGGTGACCTCACGACTGCCACTTGGCGACCCGTGTCCCACCGACCGCTCTCGCCCCTCTCCCCTCCAGGGCGGAGGGCCGTGACCCCCGCTGACCGGTCCCCCCCCCCGCCCTCCCCCCTTCAGGTGATGTCCGCGGCGCAGGGACAGACGATTGCCGACCGGCTCAATGCTGCCCGACACAGCCTCGCCGGCCAGGGGCTGGCCAAGGCCGTCTGCAAGGCTACCACAGAGGAGCTGCTCGGACCCAAAAAGAAACACCTCGACTGTGAGTAGATTCGGAGTCGGCGCTGCAATCCGCCGGCCGAGCTGTCGTGAAGAAGCGCCGCCGTCCGGAGGCTAATCATTCATACGCCGGCCGACGGCCTGCTTCCGGCCGAGTGGGATTAGTTTAACATCATAGCACCAGTCTGCAGAGCAGTTTATGAGAGATTTACTCAGTTTTGTTAATCGTTTAGCTGATGCCTTTGATGCTATTTTCGGAGATGAGTTGAGCGCATGGCCATTACTTTTATGATCATCTTGCTTGATGCCGCTGGCTTTGTGCTGAATGGGCTGAACTCCCCAGTATTGGTGCTCTGTAACTGTGGGCTGGTATTAATCCAGTGTAGCCGGTAGCCTGTCGAGTTTGGAATCCATCCCCTTCAGGGACCCACCCACGATCACCGTTCCCCAGTCCAGTGACACGTTCCCCCTCTGTTTCAGATCTCCTGCACTGCACCAACGAGCCGAACGTCTCCATACCGCAGATGGCCAACCTGCTGATCGAGCGCACGCAAAACTCCTCCTGGGTGGTGGTGTTCAAGTCGCTCATCACCGTTCACCACCTCATGTGCTACGGAAACGAGGTGGGTACGACGCCGGCTGAGCCGCCAGCCGAGCCGCCCGCCAAGCTGCTAGCCGTGCAGGTGTTCGCTGAACACTGCTACATTTCGATCCGTGACGGAAATGGTTGCGTTCTGCTGTTTCATGTCAGACTTTGGGGTGTTAAAAGAGGATTCAATCATTGCTTATGTTTGCTGTCATGGGTGTCATGGGTGTGCGGACTAGCCCGTCGTTTGCTCGATCTGTGTGTCGGTCTCATGCAATTATTATTTCAATGCCGAAGGAGTAGCTCGTGTTATCTTATCAGTTCGTTGTTAAAAGATAAGCTGTCAATATCCTGGCGCAAATGCCGATTAGTTCGGGAAATGAGCCGGATGATAGTGCATTGCTGTTACAGCTCTCAGACACGTGGTGGTAGCCGGGTGCCCCTCTCGCTCCGACACCCGAGTGCATGGTGAAATGTCTGTTGTTTAATGGGTCGTGTTTAGGCATCTGGATCTGATGGACCGCCTGGACAGCTCTTTGTCGGAGTTATATGCCGGAATGTAATATATTCGTCAGCGGCAATTTCCACAACGGCGGAGTCATAAACTGGGATGTAATATGTCCTGGACGTGTTAGCAGCAACTCCGGGTTTACAAAGGTTTACAAACTACGCGGGTGTTGTGAACAAGAATGCCGTGTCTCACGGATATGTGTCGAATTCAGTGTTCTAAACTCGTGCTGTTTCTGTTCCACAGAGGTTTACTCAGTACTTGGCATCCAGCAACTGTAACTTCCAACTCGGCTCTTTCCTGGACAAAACTGGTGGTGAGTAAACAACGTCTATCTTACATAGTTGACACTGTAAAAGTAGCGAGTTATGCCGCGAGTCGCTGGTTATAGGGTTTCGCTGGGTGGATCAAATTAAATAGATGACTAACTAAGGTGCACATTAATTAGTATCCAATAGCTCAAACCTAGACTCACCGTTCACTTAACCAA